TTTGTTGTTGTTGTTGTTGTTGGTTTTTTTGTTGATAGGAGATGGTGTTTTTTTAATTACTGGCTCTTGTAGGCATTGACTCTTACAGTTAAATAGAGGCTAGGATGTAAACAACCTCAGGTGCTGGTAAGATGGTCTGAGTTTAAATCCTTCAGGATGGAATTTTGAGTGTGGAAAGTCAAGATCTAATCTGGGAAAAAATTACAGCTGAAACCAATGCGAGAATCCATTTAGTGAGCTGTACAAGTTTTTCCTAGAATCTGCTTAAAGAAATGGATGTTAACTCTGGAGGTATCTGCGAAGAACAGGATTTAGTTTGCTGGTTTCTTTACCTTCACTTTTTTGACACAGTGCAGTCCCAAGGAAGGAGTTTTTTTCAGCCTCTCCACCATCCATTCCTGCTGTAGTAGCTGTGGGTTTGGCAGCTGCCAAAAACACACTTGGTTTCTCTTCCAGTGTCTTGGCTGAACCCGGTGATCTCTCTGGGCAGATTCCTCTGAGGGTGAACATAAAGCACACTGGCCACACAAACAGGCATGGCTTGGTTGGGCTGTGTGAGCCAGCACAGGTTAAATGTGATGCAAAAGGTGTGGAATTAAGCTGCAGATGTCTGTGGAGTGATGCCAAAAGTGAGATGTATGGGAGACACAGGTTGTGTTGTAATAGTTTCATCAGTGTATGACTGGAAGAACACATATTGAAGGCATAATTTTTGCCATTCTGCACAATGAGCAAAATTTTGGTACGCTACGTAGCTATTTTTAAAAATGCTTTGCTGAGTATTTGTGTCTTTCCTTGGTAGTGTATTTCATATCCTTTTGCTCGTGAAATCTGTATTCCTCGTGCCACTTTTCCAGTTGTAAACTCTTAAGGAATAATAAAAAGAGAAGAGATAATTTTAGGAAACTGAAGTGGTGCTATCATCATGCTGTGTAGGCTTAATGTTCTTCAACAGAAGTAAATTGCATAATCCTGTGAGCAGGGTGGTGCCTTTTTCCACTGCTGTAACAGAGACCCTTTATCTGTTTATTTCCTTATTGTATCCCACACCAGTCACATCTCATCTTTCATCACTCAGTCTCTCATGGTAAAGTAATAATAAACAGGAAACATTAGAAGGGGAAAAAAATACATTTTTTGATATAATAGTGGCATTGTTTTTAAGAGGAGATGCAACCTTAGGGCAGTTCTATCTGGTACTGGGTGTAGAGTGGGGTAAAGTGGTAAATGGTACCTCTCAGAATAATTACCTTGCAAGTAGGTTGTTGTTTTTATGTGTGTTTATAAATAATTGTGTTTCTCACAAGTTTTTAAAGATTAAAGATTTTTAAAGATCCTAGTTGAGCAAAATATGTCATCTTCTTTCCTATTTTCTGTTAAAAAGATTATTTTTAAAGTTATTTTTGTCATCCTCTCCCTTAGGGCTATGGTTACTCTTATGTAGATACTATTGTATTATTAAAATTTAGCCTTTGCAGTAGTTAATAGAAGTTGGGGATTATTTTTGGTCATTTTTTTTTTCCCCTCTCAGAAATGAGTAATTAAAACAAATTGATTTGAAAATTGAAATCCCCTCCTCAGCATGCTGAAGGCTGTGAAAAGATACATACCTGACGTGTAAGGGGAAGATATCTTTGTCAGTCATGCAATAAAATTTCCAAATGCCCTCTTTAACAGCCTGACTCTTAAATGTTAGTGATCCAGATGATCTGTAAGTAATGCAGCAGAAGTCAAGGCAACAAAAGTCTTCTGTTGTTGAAGATCCCTTTGAGTTGATATTTTGTAATGGCTCAGAAGTGGCAGAACGATATTTCTCTCCTGCCATGACAGTGAGGGAAGCTCTGGGTAGTCCCTGTGTTCCCTTCAGTAGAGCTGTAGGCTGTTATTCCATGGATGTTTGTGTTTTTTGGCTTTTTGTTTTAGGCTTTTTGTGGAGGGAAATGTCTGAACCCTGAGTGTTTGGGGGTTTTTTTTGATTCATTTGGAGCTGAATTCGTTTTGTGAGCGTGTTAACAAACAGATGCTCGTCTGTCCCGGGAAAAGCTCTGCTGTGGGATCCTCCAAGATCATTTCTGCAGCACCCACACAACACTCACCTTGCTTGTTACAGGTCTTTGCCTTATTCTGGTGTAAACCCAACAGGACTGTGGTTTCAAATACCAGCAGTGCAGATGAGCAGTTTGATCTCTTGACACGCTGCACTGGTGTGTCCCCACCTGTGTGCAGTTTTGGGTACCTCCATGTAAGAAGGACATGAAATTATTAGGGTGTGTCCAGAGTAGGGTGATGAAGACGATGGAAGACCTTGAGGCCAAGGCTTGGAAGAAGTAACTGAGGTCACTTGGCTTGTTCAGCTTGGAGAAGAGAAGGCTGAGGGGTGTCCTTTTTGCAGTCCACACACCTTCCTCGTGGGTGGCAGAAGAGGTGGGTGCTGATCTCTGGTGACCAGTGACAGGACACAAGGAAATGGGATCAAACTGTGTCAGGAGAAGTTCAGATTCGACAATAGAAGAGGCTTTTCACTGAGAAGGTGACCAGTCACTAAAACAGGTTCTCCAGGGAACAACAAGCCTGCCAGTGTTCAAGGAGCATCTGGATGATGCTCTTAGTCTATGGTTTAGCCTTACACAGTCCTGCAGGGATGAGGGAGTTGGACTTGATGATCCTTATGAGGTTCCTTACAACTTGAGATTTCCTGTGAAATAGAATTTACAGGCTTGGTTGGATATATGGGCATTTTCATTAGCCACTACTTTTTTTCCAGGAGAGACTTGCTTACCAACTAGTTCTCTCGCTGGAAATAACCAAACCTGTGTGAAGAATAACATTGCAACTGTGGTGTCTCAGGAGAAAGGGCAGAAGTAATAATTCATTAGCATGTTTTATTGTCACACGTTAATTACTTATATGCATTACCTTCAACCTTTGGACAGCACAGGGTGCCACCCCTTTTACTTGAAGGAAGGGATGAGGGTCTCCTCTGTGATCTTATTTGGTCCCTATCACTTCTTTCTGTGTTCACAGTGGTGCTCAGAAATGCTAAAACTGTGATTTTTCTCTAAACTGGATCAATTTGTAACTTCCTGCTGTGACATATTAGAGATGTTTCTCATTACACCTAATGGAAATAACCCTAATCAATGATGGTTGTTGTAATGAGGTTACTGCTGAATGGGTTTTAGGATTGTTGGAGGTGGTGGTTAGTCAATAGCCTGAAGTATGAAAGAATATCGTGTAATCCAGGGGCATAAGGAACAGCTACTGGTGTGTACACATGGAGTTTAAACTCCATGTATTGCAAGGGTAATCTTACCTTTTGCATGCTGTGTGTAGTTACCACCAGGATGTTGAATTTATGGCAGAAGTTCTGTTGACCATCCTGGAGCTGCTCCCCACCCCCTCCCCCCCCCCCAAAAAAAATTACTTCCTTAGTCTATATTCATTCTTGCATTTCAGTGGGGGAGATAATAATGGCCATTCTTCACCGCAGCTTAACAAAGCTCTGAAATACGGGGATGGAATGGAAGACAGGTCATTGGTTTGGGTCTTTGTATTTGGTTTTGTTAGGGTTTTTTTGTGTGTGTGTGTGATTTCTTTTTTTTTTTTTTTATTTAAAAGAAAATGCCATGCTGATCATAATTCCAGCACCCTCCTGTTGAATGCACACGGGAGCCTGAGGGATCTGGTCTAATCATCTACTTTGGCCGGTGTGTGTGGATGATGGGCCTTGTAGGATCTTAGGAAGAAAAAAAATTGTAGAAAGAAAGAAGCTTAACTTTAAATAGGTGCAGTGTGACCCATTTTCCTCTCCTGCACTGTAAGGTTTTCTGCTGCTGGCTCCTGTCTGTGTGGGCTGATCCCATTTGGTGCTGTTGGCTCTGCTGGGTTTGTGGGTGGTTGGAACCAATGTCCAGCCCATTGGATGTGTCTCAGGATCTGCCCCTGATTGCTCTTCCACACCGTGATGCTGAGTTGTTCAGAGGGGTGTGGAGAAGGTTTGGCATCCTCTGTGTCTGATCCAGCTGTGCTTTCAGTTGGAGGGCAGGAACTATCTCTGTATTGTGCCGCTGCTTAGCTGTGCAAGGAGACACAGCCTGCCAGGGTAGCCAGTGCCAGGGCTGAGTTTGGATCTATTGTCTTCACATGGGGGAGGGAAATAAAGAGCCCCCCCCCCCTTAAATTTTACTCTTGAGTGAATCTTAATCTTTAAATTACTACAAATGTGAGACTTCCCATGCTATGATTTGAGAATAACTGTAATCATTTCAAGAAAACAAAGCCTAGGAACATTATGGTGTTGAATGTAGAGTAAACTGGTGTTTGAAATGATGTGTTGTACATCTGCACATATCAAAAAAGGAGCTTAATTTCCTAATTTGTTTTGGATCTTGCCCCCTCTCTCCTCATGTTCATCCCTATTTTATTTTCTTCCTTTTGTGTCTATAATTGCACGTGTTATTAGAACTGGCAAGATGAGCACCTCCAGATGCATCCTGCAGGAATGCAGCCAATGCTGACTCTATTCCCATGTCAGACTGCATGCCAAGTCAGTGAAGCTTGGTTGTCAAAACCTATACCCTTTTACACTGCTTCTAAACCCATCTTCTCACAATAATATTTCGACACAGGGTGACTCATGATAACCTCAAGAATTGTCCTGAGCTAAGAATGTGTCTTTTGCTGTGTTGAAACATCCCCGTTAAAAGTAGGATTTTGAAATGGTACGGTCTAGGCAGCTTTCCTTATTCTTCTGTCAGATGATAGGAGTTGAGGGGTTTGTAATCTGTGTGTTGAACCTTTTCCTGGGGTTTGTATTTTGCTTGTTTGGGGTTTTTTTGGTAAACATTTTCTGAATTTTTATGCGCTTTGAATACAAAGAAAAAAGTTCACTTATTTCACTAAACATAATGCATTTTGTGTTGTGTTTTTTTTTAACAAGAAGACAACAACTTCTCTTCCTTTTGGGGAAAAATATATTGATTTTACTTATTATTTTACAGGTGTCAGGCGACAGCATATCAGTGATGCTCCTTCTACAGGATCTTTTCCTAATTGGAGATCTATACTATCACCAACACGGCCTTCCACAGAAACAAAGACTTCCTCAATAGCTGATATTTCTATGGGGCAGACTTTGGAGAATGCAGACTTGCTTCAGATGATAAAAACCACACTGACTGGCACACGTACCAGGACTTTGGATCAAATGCACCTGTTGCCCACTCTGTACCAAGGCAGTGGAAACAGTGCATCCCAGGAGCCCGCTGAAGTTTCAGCCGAGTCGCCCCTGAGGTCGTCATCTCAAGATGCAGACGAAACAGGTTTGCCTCAACTTGGTATGTTTGCCACATTGTCCCCTACACCATCAGTGACACATTCGAGTGCAGCTGTGCCACTTCAGCCAGTGCCATTCAAAACACCCTCCATTTCAAAAGAAAGCTCATCAGGATCAGTCATGCTTGCTGCTGTTCCATCACCATCATTCTCCTCACTGGTAATTCGGTCACCTCATACCATTAACTTTTCTAAACCAGCTGTACTGCCCATCCAAGTGCCTTTGTCTGCAGATCCTGAAGGTTTCGTCAACACAGATTCAGCCAGCTCACAGGTTAGTGAAAGCAGAAGTAGTCCTGTAAGCGTGGTACATTCCAGTCTGGTGAATCACAGGAGGGGTCCCGAGTTCTTTACAGGGGCCATGCCTTTCATTGGATTGACAACAGTGCATTTCACAGAAATAGTGGGAAAAAGGGTCTCCTTCAGAAGGGACCTCTTTTTCATCTCTATACTCTGATATTCCTGTGTCAAAAATGCATCAGTCTCCCCTGACAGGAACTTCCAAAAGCCTGTCATGGTTCCCTAATGAGAGTCTGTATAATGTATCTTCTACTGGAGTAAAACCAAACACTCAGCCATTTAGGGCAGCACTGACTGACAGAAATAGTGATATCACTCTTCTGTCACCATCAGTTTTTCAGGATAAAGCAGAGGTTCCTACATCACTCTTCCATCCTGTGGTTACTCCACATCTAGTACCGCAAATGAGTCATCCTCAGTCTTTCACAGCACTGACTAATTACACTACAGGCTCTACCCCCCTCTACCTTTCATGCCATCAGCTTCTGAGAGGCTGGCTGAGGTCTCCAGCTCAACAGAGAGCAGAGTCTTCCCTTTCACTGCCAATATCTCTTGTTCCAGATGCAAAGCACGCTCGCAGTGCAGTGCTGCCAGCCCGAGCGTTTAGGAGCAAAACAGATTTGCTCTTTAGAAATGCAGCACACTCCTCTCCCAACAAACCCAAGGTCTCCCTTGCTAACTGAGACAAATGATGTGTTTACTAGGATAGCACTCAGAAACAGTCCCAGGGCAGAAGCAGCCGACCAGGATATGCTGCAAATCCCTTCGACTGCTGTCTCACAGCGCTCGGTGGTGGCTCCGAATCAGACTTTTGCAGAAGACCTGAGCGATGGAACTTATCAGGCAAACAGCATGCGGTTGCCAACTGCTCCTGCCTCTGCTCTCCCAGCTCCTGGTGGCTTTCCTGTGGCAAGAAGAGCTCAACAGCCTTTCACAAGAGGAGTGACAGCAAAGATATCCGTGAACTTTAATGCTAATAATGTCCTGCCTTATGGAACTCAGCTTTCCAAAGTTTCTCCAGATATCCAAACCAGTATATTCCACGTAGGATCAAGAATGCTAAGCACTGTTTTGGAAACGGCTATGACTAGTCTTGATCTAGCTGCAGTGCCATTAGTTCCTTTTACTACAGGCCTTTCAAAACCCGAAACTGCTATCACAAATACCTCTGCCACTGATGTTTTTGTGACTGCTCATCTTCCACCTGGAGATGCAGGAAGTCCAGATGTGAGTGAAGACAGAAAGATGAGAACGCCCACCGCTGTGATCCCCATATGCAGAATATTCAGCTCCAGGAGCTTTAAATCATTTAACTTCTGATCAGACTTTGCGCTCAGTTGATAAAAAGCCACCTGCCTCTGTCATGCCTCCAGCGTGGGGTATGCTGCCATCGCTTGTTTCCATGACAACGTGATGGATGGACTCAGTTCTGGCTCCTCCAGGATTTCCAATGCAGACTTTGGAAGCAATTTAGATCCTGTCAGCCCTCCTCCTCAAGTCATAACTTCAGCTTCTACGTGGACCAATAAAGCTTTGGTGTCTTCAGCTGGCATTAGTATTCCTTCGGTAAAAACTTCAGTCCAAATAAGAGAAGTTTCTTCAAGTGCTTCTCCATGGGAAGCTGAGTGCCGTGCACCACACTTGGTGCTTTCAAGTCTGCAAAACAAAATTTAATACAAATAAGCAGCCACTCTTCTCCACCCCCTTCAGCAAACTATATTTATGCATGCTATAGTCAAAACATTTCAAATTTACCCTTTGCTGAAAAGAATAGTTTTTTTAGAATTGGATGCGTTTGCGCTGAAAACATCTCCTGTTCAGTATTCATTCCTTGCTACAGCATTGGCAGTGCCTGACCTCTTGCAAAAAAAAAAGCATGGAAGGAAGCAAGGCTGGAAATGCTGCTGATTTCTTCACTGTTGGAGATGTTCATTATCAGTATACACGATAAAGCATCTCTCCATTTACATGTGCCTTCTGTTAATGCTACAGGTGCTCTCCCTAACTCTCTAGAATCCCAATGCTGGAAAGATTATCTTACTGACAGAAATGTTAAGCACAGCACCAGCACTGGCTTTTCAGTTCACTGACAACTTGACTATTTCAGCCACCAGCAAAAACACACTGCCAGCCCAATCCCCCTCTCCTGTGACTAAGCCTTCTGGCTCAACTGTCTTGTATAGTTTTATTTCAGAAATCATTGGTTCTGGAAATTTGCCAGAATTTGCAAACAATCAGTTAGAGTCCTCTGGTTATTTGTTTATGCTTGATAAAAAACCAGCTACGTTCAGTGTGGAGTGAGACACGAGCGCTGCAAGATGTAGTCTAGTTCCCTGTAGTGTATCTAATAAAATTACCAAGGGCATCCCATTGCCAACCCCTACCACCAGTGCTCTGCAGTCAGTCATCATAACTTCTCTCCATGCATCACCAACACAGCTAGAGTCTCCTTTTTTGTCAAAAACCAACTTTACCCATTCTGTCCTTACAGTGTTATCTGGAGTATCTTCTGGTGCAATACCTACGGTAGGAGCTTCAGAAGCAAAACCACTAACAAGAAAATCACCTCCAGCTTCACCAGTGCCAGCTTCTTCCTTCTTTTCTCTAGGCACTGAAAACACACCTTTGCCATCTGTGATGGCTTTAAGCACACTGACACTGGCCCTAACAAAAAATAACACTGCCACAAAACTGACATCGGACCTAAGCTCAGTAGGAACACGTGCAGATTTTCCTTTTGCAACAAGAAACACAACTGCATCACCCGTGGACGTGACAGCCACGCTGGTAACCCTTAAAGGCAGCACGGTCACAGCTTCCACACTCGCACCCACAGCCCACGCACCGAGGCAGATAGAAACCACAGTAACTGACACCCAGAAGTTCCCGAGCTCAGACATCACCAAAACGTCAACCCCCTACCCACTGACAATTACAGCAGCTTTGACATCTATTACAGCATCAGCGAAAACAACTAGGCTTCCCCCTACTCCAGTGGAAAACTCCTCTGCTCCCTCTGAAACCACAGCAGCAGCGGCTTTCGCTAACATGACAGCGGCTCCCCCCCTGGACTGCCGGCTCTCCGACAACCTTATGGTTAAAACAGGTATGTGGGGATCGCTCAGTTTACTGGGAGGACCTCGCTGTGTCTGTGAGGGGCAGCTGGTGAGGAGTGAGAAAGGCGCTCAAAGAACGCGGGTGTGTTTGTGGTTAATCTGGGGATGAGGCTGCTGCGCTGACAAACCACGTGGACTAAAGCAGGGCTGTTGGATAGGGGTGGCACTCACTGGCTTTATTTGTGGCTTGGATTTTGCAACGATTGCACCCAAAGAAGTGGTGAGATCATCAGGTGCTCCGAAGTTCAGCAGGTCACTGCAGGGATTTAGCGGAACCTCCTGTGTGGGAGGGACAGCCTGGTAAGATGTGGTGGTTTGGTCTCTGCTTTGCAGTGAGGAGTCTGTGTCACTGAAGGGGACGGTGCAGTAACCTGCCTCAGTCTTCAGCCCTGTTTACATACAAATACCTAATTATGTTTTAACATGAACACCTAATGCTGTCATTCAAGTTTCATTTGAAAATAATGACCACTCAGAATTTCATGCTTCAAAATGGGTGGATTTTTAGTTTTCTGTGCAAACAGTGCCACTTCTGGCTCTAGCTGGTTTTTTTTTCATGGACAGCTTTTCCTTAGCTGTAAGAACTCTCAATTAAAGGGGTCAGATAGGTCCCTTGCCCAGGCTTTCCATGGACTCCTTATGGTAGCACAGTGCAGCACCAGAAGATGTGTGCATCTTGAAGATCTCAGCAAAGAGGAATAGATATAAAACAATGGTTAATGACTTTGTATAGACCTGAGTGGTACAGGGTAAAATGAAATAAGCAGCTCTTGGACCTAATGTGTGTTTGATAGCTGCTAAATATCTCCATCAGTAGTGTGATGAGTACAGCAACTATATCCAAAGATAGGAGTAGCTTGTATACAGTATAGGATTGAAAGCACTCAAGTGCAGCTGTAAAGCTCTTTCTGCAAATTATAAGAGGAAAAGGTAGTGGTAATGTTCATAAAGAGAGTGTACAGATGCTTCCTAAATGGAAAAATAATTGTAGCAGTGGAGAAACACATTTCTGTGTTTGTTTTAACTGTGGCCAGGAAGATGTGGGGCCTGCCTGTGCAGCACCAGCTCAGTGCCCTGGGAATGCTGCACCACTCTGTCCACAGGCAGTCGAGTGGCCTCATATCTCACATGGAGAGGCAGCTTGGCAAAGACTTCTTGTTGCTGAAGAAATTGAATTCGTTAGACCTTGCTCTGGAAACGGTGGGATATTGCCATGGGATGGATAGGGAGCTCAGGATGCTGCTGAGGCCCTGCAGTTCAGCCTTTGGAGCTGCTGCTAATCCTGCAGCTGCTTTGATGCTCCCTGCACAGCCAGGCCCATGCAAAAACAATTAAAGGAGGCAAACAGGAAGCATGGTGATGTCTCAGACCACCCTGTGGCTTTTGTTGCTCCACAGTTCTGTTTCTGAACACAAGGAGGATGATGATCAGCAATGCCTTCAGGGAGATGGTGAGAAAAGGACTCAACCAAGTGCTGAGACAAGCGTTCAACCAAAACGTCAGTGCTCAGGTAAGCTTGCTTGGATTGCCTGTGTGATCTCATCGAAACACCTCTCCCACCAAAGGGATCCCAGCTGGCTGCAGCCCCACTGGTGTCTCTCATTGCAGGAAGCCTCTTGGAGGGGAGCAGGCATAGGTGGCACCCACTGTGGGCTCTAAAAATATAAGGATTATCCCAAAGCTTTCACCAGCTTATTTGATGAAGAAGAAGAGAGAAATGCAAACTCTTTTTCTAGTGTGTTTTGGGAAATGACTACTGACAGCAGTTTCCTCTCGCCCCTGCAGCTCAGGAGTGACTCCTGACTCATGGGCAGCCGAGTGCTGTTGTGCCCAGCCTGGATCAGTGGCGACAGCACGGGTGGTAAATGGGATGTCACTGCTGTCAGTCCGCTCCCTGGTTTGAAAACCCAGTACCTGACAAGTGCAATTCCACAGGGGTGAAAATCCCGAGCAGGGAGAAAGCACTTTTTATTGAAAATAAATGGAGGTGATGTGTTCATCACTTTGCAGCTAAATTGCAGGGACCTCTGCACTGCTGTGTGTGAGAGCAGGCTTGGGTGGGCTGCTGGGGCACTTTTGTCTGGGACACGGGTTCACTTAGGCAGGGGTTTGGGTTATAAGTTATCCCTAAGCCTCTGGGAAAGAAGAAAGCAATTTTGCTCACAATAGAGGGCATCAAGTTGATTTCAGTCCCCATGCTTTATTGCTGCAAGCGTGGACGATGTTAGTTGGTTTGGGAATTGTGTGTTCCCGAGTCTTGGCAGCAGCAATAAAAGCTGTCAGGTTTACTCCCCTACCTTTTTGTAAATTTGAGAGGAGCTGCCTTTTGGTTGCCAGCTAAAACCTAGTGGGGAGGACCAGTTCCAGGGCTAAAACTTTTTGTAAAATACGGAATATTGAGGTAAAACTCAGCTCATGTTTTGGCTCATAGTGGTGTGTTCATTCTTGTGGTTTGTCATTTCCACTCATGTGGGTCCACTTACAGACTGGACAGTATAGCAAAACAGTATAGAAGTGACAGCCCAATCAAATATTGAAAACTTTTACCTTTCAGAAATCTGTCTCCAAACCTGCAATGACAGAGACGTGCACAAAGTCAGTCAACTTCAGGCATGAAGTAGGAGTTGGAGTTTCTCTGGATTCTCTGCATTTTTATATGCCTAACTGAAAAGTCCCAGTATCTGTACATGAATGATACCCCAGCCTAAACTGGAAGTGTGACAGCTGTGGTAGCAATACTGCACTGCTTCAATTCAGAGCACATGCTGCGAGGGCTGGGCCTAAAGCTCTCTGAGCAGCTCTGCTAATACTGTGTCTGATATGACACTAACTGATCCCACAGGGTTTATGGGGGATTACAGGATAAAAAAACCCCGCAAGGGAGCCATATTAAGCGTGAGAAGTCCCATCAAATAGCGATAGAATTGCAAAAAAAAAAAAAAAAAAAAAAAGGGAGGGGATAAAAAAAAGTGCTCCCTTGTGTGTTTTAGGTTGAAATCCTGGAGCAGTCAAGTAACCTGACGGTTGGTTACTACGTCACACGGGGCAGGCTGGTTTTCATTCCGGCTGCTGTCATCGAGAGGCTCCTGGCGTACGGCATCGGCAACGCCACGGCAGACATCAAGCAGCACGTGCCACATCTCCAGGCCGTGGTGGCCCTGGCCTTGCCCTGGAAGCCCCTTCCTGCTTACCACTTCCAGCTGAAAACAGGTGAGCCGTGTCCTGTCTGCCCTGGTGTGTTTGCGGGTCAGTGCCCAGGGGCAACGATCCTGCCTCGGCCCCTGCTCTCCAGTGCAGTGGTGTGGCAGAAGGACAAGCTCTGCTTTGGTCTCAGGTTCTGATGTTCCTGGCATGAGCAAGGACAGCCATTGTGGGCATCCCTGTCCTTGCTGGTGCTCTGCTGTCGCGGCCATCGGTGCCGTCGTGAGGTGAAGTGGCTTTGTGTTAGGCGTGAGTCACACACTGATGTGCTTGACTAACACTTGGCACTTGTTAAATGGACTCTGATCGATGGATTGTGTGTTCCTTCTAGGGACAATTAGATGAGAAGCATGACTGTGTGATATATATACACACACACGTACTGTTCTGGCTGGACCCATCTCTGCCCCAGGTCCCAGCTGTCTGACCCAGGGTCACTGCTGAACCCCACTGTGCTGTAGCAAGTATTGCAGTGCAGTGTAAGCTGTGAGAGGGCAGAGTGTGCTGGAAAATTATGTATGAAATTATAAAAAGGTTTCTTGTGCCTGCATCCACATGTTTATATACACATAATGCAATTAACCAGTTAGGTACGTTTTTCTTAGAATGAGAATCAATATTGTGATTGATTATGTTTTGCAAGAGCAAATGACCTGTAAGATTTAAGACTATAACTTGTCTTTTAGAATGATTTCACTTACTGCCTGCCTCTGAGTAAATATATGCACAGTGAACTGGTCTTACCATCTTATATATCACTGCAGAAACAATCTCCACTTGTTTATGGAGAGTATCAGCTCTAACAATGCAATTTAACTCTTACATTTTGTCTTAATTAAGGCTCGTTTAGTGCGCTGCCTGAATGCCATCAACTGATCTTAGGTGGCGTTAATTTCACCTGCTTAATTTGTAAATAGATCATTTTGCTCTTGGCATTGGAGGATTTATGCAACTGAGAACGCTTCGGCCACATGCTAATACGTTCCTTTTCCAGAGCTGCAGTTTGTGGGTCAAACAGACAATATTCAGTCATGCAAATTTATTCAGACCATGGAACAGCGACTACAGAGAGCATTTCAGGATGCTGAAAGAAAGGTCCTCAACACCAGCAACAACTTAACAGTTCAGGTACGATGTTGTGTTGCTTTGCCAGTGCCTGTTGCCAAACCCTCAGGGTTATTCTTTGTGTTTGTATTTCAACGTAGTGCCTTGGCTAGCCACTGTGAGAGGAAGTTCAGGCTTTCATCTGAAATAAGGTAGTTTTATGCACTGCAGGAAAACTTATAAAGGGATGGTTTATGGAAGACAGGTACTTTTCAAGAGTCTGAGTTTTTACTGTTTGTGGTTAAGTCACGCAAATGGAATTCAAATAAAAACAAATATATGAAGATATTCTTCCAAATTTTTGTTTTTACTGAATATGTTATTCTGACACATTAGTTGCCTTCACTGTGGCTATTCAGGTATAAAGATGGTGACAGGCATAGCTGTTTGTAAGATCTGAGCTAATGGAATATATTTCATTCTCTTTTTTCGGTATGCATTCGATTCCAGACTCACAGACACCTATTCACCACTAAGGGCCTGATTTTTGCAGATGTTTCTATGTATAGAGGCCAGCACCCTTATGCTGTGTGCTGTACTTCAGGAAAAAAGAAACTATCCTCTGGGTGATGTTATATGCATTTTACTTATGATAAAACTCTGTGTATGGACTTGTGCTCCTCCTCAGAATGGTTTGTACAGAACTTTCCAGAAGGAGAAAATTGGCCGTCAGGGCTCTCCTCAGTTAATTTTGGTGCTGTTTCTTGTGAGCTTGTCTTCAAGCTGGAGTTGCTCAGAGAGGCAGAAAAGTGCATGGAAAGAGGTGACTCATCACAGTAGGTAAAGGGATTGTCGAGCTTTTCAATAGCTGGACCTGTGGCACTGAGGGGAACCTCGTGGTGACTCATTTGCTTGCGGTGGAAAAGGCAGATCTCACAAAGCACCTAAGCAATTTTGTGAAGAGCCCCAGCAGAAGGTGGTAGTTGGGTTTTTTTGTGGGTATTCCCAATTTAGGAAGAGATAGGATGGAGGTCTTGGAGGCAAGGTATAAACTGGGAAGTAAGAGGCTCAAGGGTGTGATCTTCATGGTAAATTCTTCTGCAATTGTTTTTCCGTATCATGCAAAAGACTAAGTGCAGCAGAAATCTGCATGAGGGTTTCAGATTAGTTACAGACTGAGGAACAGTTCTGGAGCAGACTGAGCCAATTCAAAAAGGCATTGCTGCACTGCCAAGAGGAGAGGGAGGGGCTGCAAGGTGGGTTAAAGGCGTGAAGCAACTTCCATGCCAGGAGAAACAAAACTGACCGTGGTTTTCCAGCCATGAGCGGTGCAGTGAATCAGGAGTGATCACTTGGAGTTTCCCATAACAGAGCTACTCAGGTTTAAGAATCCTTAGGAAGAGTCCTTTAACACAGTGGGTGATAAAGATGTTATTGGAGAAAAAGTCTGGAAATTACAAAAAGCAATTGGCCGAAAATATACAATAAAAAGTCATCAACCCTTTTTAAACCCAAGCATATGATTTGTGGCTCAGACCAGAGCTGTGGGCTAACCTTACCCTGCTGGAAGCAGTCTTCTCTTCTTCTCATTCTCCAACCATCTGCTCTCCTGACCATTGGCTAACCAGTTGTCTAAGTGGACATACATTGGCTACACAGACCTTTGGTCTGACCTCAAACTCTTCTGTTGATGTTTTTATTGTACCGTGCTTTCTGTTTTTACTTGGTGATCCAGATGATACAAATGGGGTATTTAAATAACATTCATGAATGCTGCTGGTCCTACCTATGCATAGCCTGAAAAACTCTTGTCCTAGGACATAAGTTTTCTGAGAAAACATATTTTGGTGTGGGTTTTTTGTTTTTGTTTGGTCTTTTGTTTTGTTTGTTTGTTTTTTATTCCTGCCCTTCCTTTTCCTCTCTGCTTCCTGCATGAAACTGGTGTTTGAGGAGATGATCCAGCAGTCCCTAAATAGAATTGGTCCTTAAATGAAGTCTTCAGGCTTGGGCTCAGGAAGAGATGGGCATAGAGCTAACACAGGGAAGAGAGTAGGTTGGGATATGATGGTAGGAACAGCAGAGACATGATATCCCTTTATTTTATATGGAAAAGGTGTGGATCTAGATAACTGTACTAGGAAGGCAGCAAAGACAGCAAGACATACAGGTCAATTCCTCTGCATCAAGCAGTGGATGGTTTTTCTGATAAGAACCCTCTCCTTCATCTTACATTTCTTGATAAAAACAGGGAAAAGCAGTCACAGTCCTGACTGCACCCTTTCTGCCTGCTGCTGTCCTCCAGGAACTCTGCACGTGCTAAAGTAGGGATTAAAGCATCACACAAGTGAAGTTTTACACAGTAATGTTGAACCTGATGTATCTAATCTGCTGTTCCAGTTGACTTTTCCCCAGTTTGTTTGCAGTGGCCCGGCTGTTGTTTTTGTTTGGTTGGTTTTGTTGCACGTTTTGTTTGGATTTGTATGTTTGTTTTTTTCAGGGTTTTGTTTGTTTTGGGGTTTTACTTGTTTTTGATGCTGGGTTTTTTGTTTGTTTTTTGTTTTTTTTTTTAAACTGAGCTGAAACACAGCAACATGTTATTTTTGCCTCTGTTTCAGATTTTGAACACCTCCAATGTCTCCCAAGCTGTCACTCTGTTTTACGTAGTGAACAATCGAAGCACAACTCTAAATGGCACCATTTCCAGCAACCTTCTTAATCAACTGTCAGCTGAGCTGGTGGGTTTCTACCTCACCTACCCACCTCTCACCATTGCTGAATGTAAGTATGTGCTTCCCAGCACGCAGCTCTTTAACCTTGGCCAGCACCAGGCTTGTGCTTTGCAAGCACCATTAGCTTAGTTGTCAAGCTCACAGATTGTAGGTGGTTTTTCTGACTATTTAAAAAATATTTTTTATTAAAAAAAAAAAAAAAAAGGAAGGGGGACCCAGGTGGTTATTTTTTTTTTTTTTCCTAGGTTCAGTGTTTACTTTGACTGCTGGCAGCAATGGCAAATAATCAAGAAAAACACATATAAGCTGTCATTAGTAAAAAAAAAAACCCAACCCTGTGACAGATTCCAAACAAAATAAAATGGTGGTTTTATGTAAAGCAAAGCACAAAAGGTCTCCAGTTCCTCATTTCAGGCAAGCTTAGCACAGCACATGAACTTTAGCTTCAGCATAGCCCTTTACTTCAGTAGAAACCTCAACCCCTGTGCTTGCTCCAGTGGCTGGGCTGGTTCAGGCTGTGAGTGTGTGTTTGGGTGAGCTCTAGCTATGCTTCTTTATTTAAGAAGTTGTTGATGTATTTGCTGAGTTTCATCCTCTGTTTAAAAGTGGTCTGAGCTCTTTAGCATTGATGGTTTGCTTGCATTCCAGTTGTTATGAAGGCTCTGAGGTACAGAGAGCTGGAGACAATTGTGTGGGCAGCCTGTGTGGTGTATATGCTCCCTGACTCTGCTAATTTCTCTGAAATGATTAAAGGGACAAGACACTTGATTATGGGGATTTATGTTTAATCTGCTTGTTAATGTGATGTGTGAAATTAAGCTTACTGCAGAGACAGGTTATCTCCAGGTTCACTGGAGATCAGTGTTCACTGGAAGTGAGAAGAGACAGGGACATGCTGGGCACATCAGTGCATGGTAATGGCTGGTAAAGGAAGGGCAGGCTTCAGCTGATCTCACTGTGTGTAAATCTTTATGAGATGCTTGTTAAATTTGAAATACCCTGTTCAAACACCAGTCAAGATCTGGTTAAGCTTCTGGTGGCTTTCAAACTCACTGCTAAGGCCATGCAGCGGTTTGTAATTTTGCATTTCATAAGCATTGAAATAATCAGGCACATGAGGGTAGGGTCAAATATGTCTTTATGATCAGAGCTCTGAACTGAGTGGATTCGTAGCTTCAGGTAAAATTACTAAGGTGCTTGTTCATTTTCTGATTCTAAGAAAAAGCAGAAGCAAGACTGTTGGAAAGGGAGTGCTGGGGAAAACACAAATTATCTTTTTTTGCCGGTCCATTTTGTTTGCCAACAGCCCAGTACTCCAAGAGGAGTTACCCTTGTGCAATTTTTCATGGGTGACTTGCACAATGAGCTGTCTGTGGGATAAGTGGTCGCTCTCTGCTGTGAGGCAGTCAGGAATCACAGCTAACTATGATGATTGTGCAGATCTTTGGAAAAGGAGGTGTGTATATGTTATTCTTGAGGCATTAACTATCAAATTATGGTATTTGCAAACAAATAGGTGAAACTGCCCAACGATGAGTTGTTGCGCTGCGTTGGTGCACTTTGATATCAGAGTTTCCAGCACAGGGTAAGAGACACATCTCAAGGCAGGCTTGTGTTTTCCCAGAGTCTTTTCACAGGCAAGGCGAGGTGGAGGGAGGCTGTTGACAAAGGAAGGTATGTAGCCCATTTCTTATCAGACAGGCTCCTTCCCTTTCGTGGCTGGCAGGTGAACCTGTCTGTCGAGTGCCCTTCGTGCAGGGTTTGTCTTCGTGGGGCATCCAGGAGCACAGGGAGAAGAAAGCTGGAGGAAGTTTTGATGAGGGCTGTGCTCAGTTCAAGTGTTCAGCCTCCAAAATAGGCCTGTTGCATAGGAAGAGGATGATGGTGCTTCTCATGACGGCAATACAGGCATATGCTCAGTAGTCAGGAGCTGTGAAAGCCCTTTGTCACACAGCAAGTCTTGTGTGGTACTGCAGTTCTCTGTTGGTCCCCACACATGATGAAGAGACCTGATAAAGCCTTTAGCTAGTGCTTCTTTAACGACTAATGGCTTATATTTCATTTTGGAGTTCTTGGTTTTATTCCCAGTGCAGCAGCTGAACTGCAAACTCAGAACTTAATGCAAACGTAGTGTTTATGGCACCAGACTGATAGTATGTCTGGAAAATGTTCCCTTTGAAGAGCCTTTGATGCTTATTCATGTGGCAGTGTTGTTGTTTCAGTTTATCAAACAAATAGTGAGGTTGTTCTCAGAGCATGTTATTTCCCAGTAGGCTCCAGTGGCTCCTCCAGAGCCTTTGCAATCTGTCATGGAAATGCACAGCTCAGGGCATGCCGTGAAATCCCTCCTCAAAAGCAGTTCCTGTGCGTAATCAGATCCTTTAGAGTGTTTACTATTTCACTCCACTTTGGTGTTTAAAAATCAAGGTAACTCAATAGCAGCACATCAGTGTGCAAAGCATGGGTATTCTCTGAATTAAGTTCCTAGTATTAATGCTTTCCACGTTGCATACATCTATTGAAAAAAAAAAAATACTGAGCTGTGTAATGAATTAGCAGCATCTTGAGCTTTACAGCTTAATGCACTTTGGAGAGGGAGAAGCAAACAAAAGGCACCAAAATGGCAAATATCAGTTTCTCACAGATGTAATCACATATGGTAGTAATGCCTTAAAAGGTGCAGAGCGAGAGACAGCACCACACTCCAAGGTGTGTTTGCAGTTTTGTTAGTCTCGTCTGTAATTCATGTGGAGTCTGATCCTGGTTTATTTTAGTATTACTTTAAGTTAAAACTGTGGTCTGGGTTACATAAGGATTAATCACAGAAGCAAGATGGAATCCTGTCTTGTTTTCTTGCAGGGGAGAAAGCAGCAGAAATGTGGACACACCAGTTACCCATCGTTCTTGGTACTGGGCAATCCTGGGCTTTGCCCCAGACAGTGCACCAGCCAGTGGTTTGGGGCAACAGGAGATACTACATTCTGCTTTGTATGGCAGGACTTCTTCTGTTTACACTTGGATATTCTTTTTCAGAGAGAATAGAAATCGTAACCCTGAAAATTATGCCTCTAGATTTCCTCTTGGACCGTAGTTCAATTTATTGATCACTGTCTGGTTAGCCAATTTCAGGGCATGTAATGTATAGGATGTTGGAGTATTATGACATAATTTCAACTCTTGTTTTTAAAGCTTTGGAGTATCCAAACCTTGATGTCTCGGAGTCAACTAGAGACTACTGGGTGATAACAGGTACTTTTTAATCTCCTTCCCTCCCCCATGCACTTCAGGTGATAATTTTTAGTGCTTGTTTGTATAAACACATCAGTGCAGTACTTTTAGACAAAAATAAGTGGCTGCCCACTGAAGCTGCTTGTTACATTCAACTGGGCAAATGTATTTACAGTCACTCTGGGGCGTAACTGATTCATCATCTTGAACAGCACCGTCTCCTGCATCCAACACCCACCTCAGAATTTACAGCACTTTGGTTTAAGCACTTCTGAGAGCAGCATTATCTTCTCAGAGTTTTGAAACACAAATAGACTTTGTTTATTTTTTTTTTCTTTTCCTTGTCTTGGATTTAAACCTGAAATCAAAAGAGACTTGTAGGCATAGCCCAAGAAGAAAGGTGAGCTATTAAACCAAGGACGTTTGTTATGATTTGCTGACTCTCTGGGTCCAGAGATTTTTGCATTTTCACCCCAAACCTTGGACAGGTAACTTCCTGTTGGTGGAAAAGGTGCATAGAATGCTCAGAGGCTTCAAAATACTTGCTTTATGAAGTAATTTCAACTGGTACCACATTCTCATTCACAACCATTTTGACTTCAGAAATGATAATTGGGCAAGAAAGAGACCCTTTTCCCCAGACATCTTTGAGTGAGTAGATACCAAAACCTTTTTAATTGATACCTGGAATTGTTTAACGCTCAGGAGAGCAAGCAAAAAGGAGTCTTACATGAAATGGATTTGGTGCCTGTTATATCTGTTCATAAATTTGAGATAAAATGTCTTCTCAGAGATTATGACCCTCTGAGGGAGTGGTACTGCTCTTCCCCACGTGGACCCTGAGAATCTCATACTCCATTTCTTGCCCCTGTGGACCTACTGCAATGGAGTAGTATTGATATTACAATGGGAACTTTGTTCTCAAAAAATCATGGTGGTCCCAGTAGATTTTTTTAAAAATAATATTGAAAAGATCATACATATGTATAAATTGAATCATCATGCCATGCCACTCTTTTGAACTTTATGTAAATCCAGTGTCTTCTAAATTTTACATTCATTTATGCTTCAGAAATGTTTATTCAGTTTTTGGTGCTCTCAAACAGGGTATTTTGGTTCCAACTGAGTAGTACAAAATCCTAACTTCTGATTTCATGTCTGTAGGATGGAAAACCGGTTTAGATAACAGGAGCATCTGATGATAAGCATAAAACCAGAAGCTCGCAAATAGGTTTTAACTTACTTTTTAAACTGCAGATCATACATCAGGTGCTTCCCAGAGCCATTTTGGTAAACTGAAGGGCTAAAAATTTTTTTTTTTTTTTTGAGGATTTTATTCTCTGAAATTACCACTGACGTTATCTGAGAAGAACAATGCAGGGGCTGATACAGACAGTAAATACACGTGTTGTTTTACCCGTCCCCACGTAAGATACGTGCTGATAACGTGGTTTTTCTCCCTTCCCCGCAGTTATTCAAGGGGTGGACATGGCCTTGCTGGGGCTGAACAACCAGAGCTTCGCACGGCTGATGGAGCAGCGCCTGGCCCCGCTGTTCATGATGTCCCACCAGCAAGGACGGCGGTTCAGACGCGCCACCACCGTGGGCAGCTACACCGTGCAGGTGGTCAACGCCACGCCTGGATACGTGTTGAAAAAAAAAAAAAACAGGGCTTTGCTTTCACGTGTCCAGCTTCAGTTTGTGTAACAGATATGCCTGACTGGGCTGAGATTTCTTTTTTGGTTTTTTTTTTTTTTTTTTTTAATTATTCCCCACCCCCCAAGAATATCAAAGCGGCAAGGGCAAAATGCGTGGCATTAATAATCGTGTCTCCTTCTGCAGTCAGCCTGTCATCTTCCAGAAATCATCATTAGTTAATCAGTGTTAATAAATATTTTCTCTTTGGCTGCTATGAGCGCGTGTTTTTAGCGTAAAGTCTCGTATTCAGCATAGTGAAGAGTTCCAAGCTTTTATTCATCAAAAAAAGTTTGCTAGGTAACTCAGAGCTAGAACTTCTTTTTTTTTCTTGTTCGTTGGGGAAAAAAATGTAAGAGGCAGCCTGTCTGCAGGGTTAGTCATCCAACCATGTGGCCACAGATCACATGAAGTAGAGATATCAGACCTGAATAATTTATTAATCATCTTTCTCTTATTTATAGCATTTCACATTCAGTATTTTGAAATGGTCATATTTTGTTTTCTCACCATTTAAGCCAACTGATATTTAGGGGCAATTGAATATATGTTCTTCAATCTTCAAAAATTACATAACGAGTTGTTGCTTTTTCAGAAAGTTACATTATGTTTTTCAATAGTTGATTGTTGTGAGATATAAACCCAAGTTACTACTTTTATCATTTGCCCACAACTCTTTGTGTTTTCCCACTGAAAGCATTTGAAGAAGGAACACGTTTTGCTTGCCAAAAATGTGAATCTTTGTAAAATTTCAGTCCATACACATTAATGGAGAAGAATCATAAAACTCCTTTTCTTCTCATCATTAGACATGTTTGACATTTTCTCTACTCTGAGGAATGTGAAAATTCTGACAGTGTTCTGCAGAATAAAATGGGAAACACATGGTTCTCTTTATTATCAGCCTGGGATAAAAAATAATGAGGATAGAAGGGAAATGTGAGGGTATTTTTCTACTGCAATATGCCCTAACAGTAGGTCAGGGCAGATTATAAGAATTCCTTCTTTACAGAGGACTGTGATGTCCAAACATTTGATCCTTTCCTCCTTTTTACTGCATGCTTTTCTTAGGGTGGGTTTTTACTTTAGGATTATATTTAAAATTTTTTTAAGGAACCAGTCAGTCCTTTGACTGACTGAGTTAATAACCTGGGCTATGAAGGGCAGAAGCTCTGATCCTGTGAGAACATTTTCATGGAGCTTATGCCTGTAGGAGGTCTTGGAGGAGTTCGCTGTGGGCACTGCCTTCAAATAGCTCCTGGCAAGTTTTGCAGTGGTATAATGCAAACACTATTTATTCCTCCTTCTCTCGTTATTTATTTATTTATTTATTTATTTCCCTTAAAGATGGTAAAAATTCAGCGTATTCCAGGACCCAAGGAGCCAGCTGAACTGACCTATTACACTTTATACAATGGGAAGCCCTTGCTGGGCACTGCAGCTGCCAAAATTTTGAGTACCGTTGACTCCCAGCGCATGGCCTTGACACTGGGCTACGTCATCCAAGTCCAAGCTGATCGTAAGAGTTCTCTTAAAAATTCTCTAGTTTAATCCTCTTTTTTATTCTGGTTTTTTTTTTTTCCTTTCTTTCTTTGTGAAGACACCAGTGTAGCTGTGGGAAGCCTGCACTTATCACACAGAGTAACATCCATGGACTGAATGTTACGGAACAGTAAAGTTGGAATTAATTCTGATGCTGACAAAGCTATGACACCACAGGCAAATGATGGCTGGGGCAAAGTTGCTATCCAAATAACTTGGCCCAAAGTCAAACGTGGGGGCTATTAAGAAGTCCTTTATTTTTGACTTACTCAAAATAATGTAGGTTCTATCTCGAAGGGATTATTTTATTTTATTTTTTTTAATAATAATTTTCACTGAGAACCTTGTCAGGTGAACCACGTGGTTGTTCAAGATATTATTTAGGTGCAAATCAGAAAAGTGAAGTTGAAAAGAACTACTTGTGCGTATGGGCAGTTTTCAGATTCAAGATATGGTCACATCATTCAGAGCAATGTAGCTAAAAAGGAATCCATTCTTGAAAAATCAAGGTCTTTCAAGACCTTCATCAGTTACTGAGTTTTTGTGGGCACAGATTTCTCTAAAAATTTTTTCTTTGGATATTCCTATATAGTTGACCCACAGTCATAAACCTGTGGTGGAACTTGGAGCTTTTTATTTTTTTTTTTTGGTACAGTAACAACTTAATTTACAAATTGATGCCTTTAGCTAACTGAATCTCTCCACTTCACCAAGGTTTTTATCTAGATGAAATTAAAATTACATAGTGGACTTCTTTACTGGATCTCCTTACTGACAAAACAGCATATAAAATGGGTCTCCCTGGTGCAATTATATCTGCTTGAAGGAGCAGTGATACTGAAATAATTACATGCAGTGGTGACAGGAAAAGAAGGGACCACTGTAATAAGCAATTTATGTATCATCCATAAACATAGGATTGAGTTAAAAGACAGAAATATGATATAATTTCCAGAGAATGGGCTATGTACTGTATCTGATCCTTGATTCAATCATGGTCTATTACTGACTTTAATTCGACTGAACAGGTCCATCTCCATTCCTACTTCCTTAAACGTCAGCATTTGAATTCTAAATAATTCTGTTTTCCATGAGAATATTTCTTTAATGCATTTTTTTTACTAAAGAAGATACAGATAATACGTAGCAGTTTCCTAGCTCTTTGTGCAGTGTTGTGATTTATATGGGGTATTTAGGCAATTATGACATCTGCTGCTCATCATCTAACTTTGTATTTCCATGGTCTGATGAGGCAGCCTTATTCATCTGTAGATTTTCATACCAGTGAAGTATGCACAGAATACTGTAAGAAGAGAATATACAGAAATTGAAATGATGACCTGGGGTAACTGAGATTCTGAAGGCAGAGTTATTTGAAATGTAGGAGGTAATTCTATCTTTATACCTTATTATGGAGAAAAAAAAATCAATTGCTTTCATTTTGGACATGGTTATTTGCAGTCTGTCTTCGTGTTGCCAAAGAAAATACTTTGTGTGGATTTCATTTTTGCTCATTATAATTTCTTTATAGCAGAGTGAAAAGTTCTGTTCCAAAATGCAGTAAGAAAAGACATCTACCCTTGGGAGCTCATAGTCGGGTTAGATAAGACAGACGAATAATATCAAAAAATATGGATGTTCCCATTTTATAAGCAGGAGACTGAGTTACAAGAGAATGAAAGGCTTGTTTCAAATTCCACTGAAGTCTTATTGAGTTAAATGAACCGTGGGTTGACTTAAGGTCACATTGGTAACTGAATTAAAGATGTAAACTAGGAGTCCTAAATGTCTGTCCCATTCACCATAAGGTCATCATTCCCTCTGCATTCCCTACAAAGAATAAATACAGTTTTCCAACAATTGTTTGCTGCTCCCACAGCAGCAGTCTATAATTAAAGTTACTGTTATTTGTTAAAATTCAGTTTCAGCTTCCTTCCCCACAGCCCTTTCATCCCCAAACTAAATGTCAGAGTCAGCAATTAGGAATTATGCGAGTCTGTTGAAAAGCGAACCTTGAAAGGCTTCAACCTGGTTTTTGGGATAGTCTTTTGCTCAACTCCTGTACCTGACGGTGCTATTACTGCATCACCCAACAAACCACATTGGCTTTGCAAAAAGCTGCAAAATCTACAAAGAAAACAGGCTCAGGCTTCAGCCAGACTTTGAGCTGGCTTTTGTAACTGCTGCTGAACAAGCTGGTATGCATCTGAAGTCTGATCCTGAAAGATGCTGAGTGCCTCTGACAGCTCATAAGCTCGATGACATTTGAGAGCACTGGTCCCCTAGGAAATGGGAATGGCTGCTTTGTGCTGGTGTTCTCACAATTGCCTGTCCATGCCAGCAACTGGTGCCATAGGAAGATAAACAGAGATATCATGGTGGAGTCCACTAAATGTTTCACTACAGCAGAATTCAGCATTATAAGGAGACTATCTGATGTTTTTCCTGAAAGAAATGAAATGAGAAAACTGGGAATGTGTCACAGGAGGATCTCTTATGTGCAAAGAAGTTGAAGGTTCATACCGAGAGAGATTATTCTGATAAAATGGAATCTAAAATGTTTTTGCATCACTGCATTTCTGAAACGTCCCCTTTTCCTGGTGCCATTATTAATATATCTGCAAGTAGCTCTTTCCAGCCTCATTATTTCCACTCCTTCAGAAATGATGGATTCATTTTGACCTTAACTATGATAAATTATTTCTAGAGCGCAAGAGAAGCATCCTCTTATTGCCCTATTGATATTGATAATAACTATATTAGAGTGCTTAGCTTCATTGTTTTCCAAAAACCTCTGCCACTTCACTCTCTCTGAGCCAGTAACTCTTTGACACCAGGTATGAACTCCATGTGTATTCTTTTAACATGCAGACTGCCTTGCTGTAAGCTGGATTTGTGTTTGAAAAATAGTTAAGGATATATTACTTGCACCTTTTTTTTTGTTTTGTTTATTCTATAAATGAGCCACTGGAGTAATTTCTAATATGGCATCTAACTTGATTTGGAGTGGATGGCTGCTTTTGTATATAACCAGGTATTTGCATATAAATAAGAGAAGAGAGAGCCCAGGGATTTGGGAATTGAACAGTGTTGCTGATTGTTTTGTTTTAATTAAGCTATTCCTTTGTATAGAAAGCTAGATTACTTCCACTCCTCTTAATACTAATTTTTATATGGAGACAGTTGAAGACTGGAAGCGATTGGAATGTTGCACGGTTAAGCTTACCAGTGTTGGTTTGCATTTTTCTGTAGCCGTGGTGAAGAACCCCCCAAACAACCTGTGGATCATCGCAGCGGTGCTGGCTCCCATCGCTGTGGTTACAGTCATCATCATCATCATCACAGCAGTGCTGTGCAGGAAGAACAAGAATGACTTCAAGCCCGACACCATGATGAACCTGCCTCAGAGAGCCAAGGTGAGCGACCGACCGCCAGATCCGAGACGTCCTTTTGCCTTCTGAGGTCGTAGCGGTTTCTCTGACAGATGTCGTTGAAGAATGTTTGGTATTGAAGTGGCTGTTACTCACAGGTTGGGTCTTTGCACTTCTTCTCTGTCTTTGATACCACTGGATACTCAGGACTCATCGACTTCCATCACAGCTCGTCCCTTGCGCGTAGGTAGCGGTGACAGAAGATCCACGAGCAGCGATGGCAGGCACTGAGCCATTGGGGCTGAGGAGGCTTCGCCCAGGGCAGTTGCTTCCTTCTCAAAGTTGAGGAAATGGGATATTATGCCTGGGGCTCATCAGCATCACATCTTCTCGTTTTTTTCTTTTAGATGTTTTGAACTTTCCAGTTTATTTGTGGATATGGCCTGTTGGGTTCAAACAATTATGTTTTTCTTTAAGTTACTAACCCATATCAATTACAAGATTTTTTTTTTTTGCCAAATCAAATGCATTTCCAGTTTAATTCTCTGACAGAAAATGGCACAGAATACTTAGATTTGTCTCCACAGTGAACAAGTCTGCCTTCTCAATGCTGCTGTTCAGTAGCTCTTCAACAGGGCTAACCAAAGGTAGGAGTTTTCAACCCACAGAGCCTGTGTGTAAGGAATACTGTTCCCTTGCCCTTTTAGCTGACATTCTTCTTCTTCATTGGCATGGGACTGAGATGATGAATTTTTTTCTTTGGTTTCTTAATGCTACAGACAGCAGGATTATTGAGGTTTCAGCTCTGCTGCTTCTGCTGAAAAATGTAGACTGGAAGGAGAGCTGAAGTAAGGCATGATGCGTGTGACAGCTCTCTTCTCCTTATCTTGGGTTCGTTGCAGATGGGTGCAGCTGGTGCCAGTTGGAAACAAGACATTTGTATCAAAATGATGCAGAAAAAAAGACATTTCCATTTTGGTTCCAGTGTGCTCATCTGTTTATCCACTGCTATCCATCTAGTGTTTAGGCTGGATCTGCAGAAGTGAAACACAAACAAAAATTAATACCACTGCAGTGATATGCAACGCCCCCCTGAAGCCTCTATTAATGCAAATTATGCTTCATTAGGGGCTGTTGCAAATACTATGCACCAGTTGATTCTTTTTATACATAGTTTTAGTTCTAGCTAGAGGTAAAAATAAGACTAAGTTTGTACATTGTTTTGAACTGCCCATCATTATGGGATGCTTTACAGCTGAAGAAGGTTGCTATTTGAAAAAAACACAACACACTGCTGGTAGAAGCTACAGCACAGAAAAAAAACCTTGAAAGTATTTTAATATTTTAATCCGCAGTTGACATTCCAAAAAGAAAGAGAAAATGGGGTTCTTTACTTTTCCTGAGAGATCAGATTTAATCAGGCTGTAAGATACACAGTCAGGTAAAACCTGCTCAGTCAGGTTACTCTTGCATCAGCAGGCAATGTCATCGGATGGGAGCTGGATCTGCAGAACAGAAAAACTGGTGCTGAGCTCCCAGCACCCACACTACACTCATTTCAGGAGGATTTCCTGCAGATTTGCTCACGTTTTGAGCTGGAGTGCAGGAGGTCCACTTCTGGAGCGCATTTCCCCTTTATGGTTTATTTTGAGACTCCATAAAATTTAATTTAATTCATTATACGAGAAGTGATGCATTTCCAAATGAAAGCTAAATTGCTTCCTGTTTAGATTCACAGTGATGGCTCCATGGAAAAGCTTCAGCCAGGTCTAGTTTAGAGTGTGTGCTGGTATATGGACTGTGGAAGATAAATTCTGCAGTGGGACTGGGAATGGACTGGCTTGGTCATTCCTGATTTCAGCATCTTTACTTAAAGTAAGGCTAAGAAACATATTTTGGGAAGATAATGAAATAAGGTCATTTTAAAAAGAACAGGTTTAGTTTTATTTTTAATGCCAGCCTAAGGGATAGTGGTAGTTGCTTGAACTGTAATTGCCACGTTTCATGCAGTTTGGCAATACAAATAGCTGATGAGCACATATCCATATCACATTTAAAACGAATATGTTGTATTTCATGGCTCAGGAAAGTGCCTGAGACTGCTGATTAATGCTGACTCTGCTCTAAGTGGAGTCACAGTGGAGTGATTTTTAGTTTAAGCAGCAGCTTTATTGTTTTGTTTCTGCGTGTCCGAGATTTGTTGTTGAATCACTGGAGCGATTTTTTTTTTTTTTTTTGGATACCTTTTGGATATCCAGCAAAAGGAGAGGAGGATATTACTGCATACCTGCAGCCTCGGATCTCAGGTGGTTTTGTTTCCAGCGGTGCTGTTTCATGTGCTCCAGGAGTCGTGTTCCAAGGGGACTGGCAGAGCGGAGCTGCCTGCTCATCTCTGCAGTCCTGCTGCTGCTGCTGGGAGCAGCGGGGAGGCTGCGGGTCCTCCAGAGCAGAGCAGAGCTGCCTCCCACGTCCCTCCAGCCGCTCCCCTCAGTCCCCTGCAGCGGGACAGGGTGCCCGAACCCAGCACGGAGGGGTAATGGAACGTTTAGCATGAAATATCCTTGTGCAGCTGGGGGTGGTGATGGAGCGTTGACAGCAGCGCTGCTGTGGTTGTGCCCGGTAATTAAGAATGACTCTTTGTTGTTGTTGTTGTTGTTGTTGTTGTAGCAGACTGAAGGGTAAATAAATGAAAGTTTGCAAAATGACCTCTCTTAGGTAGTGTGGTTTATGGTGTCTGGTCTTGGGAACTGTGTTGCTGTTCTGCCTCAGCAGTCAGGGACATCTGGACTAAGTTGCAGGGGAAAGGGACTGTTATATATTTTTTTTTCCCAATTTTCTCTCCGGTTGTAAAATTAAAAGGAGTATAAATTCAAATCGTGGAATTCTGATGGGATCTTATTTTAATGTTATTTCGGCGCTATTTTTATTTTAAGCAACTGTTTTCGCTTTGAGGTTTTGGATGGATGTTAACTTTTGCATCTCTTGCTTTTTAATTCTCAGCGTGCTTTTCTAAAGGCTGTAATCTGATTTGTCACCTTGTCACCTTTTCTTTTTTTTTTAGACTGTGAAAGAATAAGTTTGCAGGTAAACAGAGATAAGATCTTTAGTCTAAGACCTGCAAGCAAAAGCAAATACTGCAACCATGGGAAAACAATGACTATCAGTCTGATAAAGGGCATGGAGAAAAAAAAAAAATCAGTGAAACTGTGTACCTGGGTATACCTATAGAGGGGAGGAGCTGATCATCCTTTTTTCTCTTTTGCTTCTTTTTGGCTTCATTTCTTTTTCTTTTTTTTTTTAATGTCTTTTTCATGATCATTACAAGGAAAAAAAGTCCTAGAAAGAACTCTCTATATTCAGTCTGCCCTTTGGCAGGCTGTGTAATCTAACAGTCTCATCACTCATTTATTATTTCAAAAGCAGTATTAAAAATCCCAACCCCTCGGTCTTTCTCAGTGTTTTGGTCCTATTGGACATCTATTCTTGCAGTGCTTCAGCAGTGCCTGATCGTGATTTAGCCTTGCCAGTTCCCTTCAGGGGTGGTAAAACCATCTGCTCCTGTGGGCTTTCACGGAGCAGGGTTCCAAGAGCAAATTTTATTTAACGCAATATGTCCGCTGATGAGGATGGCTTTCTCAGCTCTTCCTTTATTGCATTTTGTGGCTAGACATGGTGGTAAGTGGAACTCAGATTAAAATAATCCTTCATTTTCTTCCTTTGGCAGATCCAAGCTGGGACAGTGCAGAATTCTTTAGTAATTCTCATGTTCTGCTGCTTCTGGCTTGGTTTGTTTTGGGTTTTTTTGTTGGTTTTGGTTTGTTTTTAAGTAAGATATGAAGTATAAGTTGAAACTTATTTTAGTCTTTTAAAGGCATGGAGGGAGAACTAACTGATTTAATTGCCTCTTTTGTGGTTTTTTTTGGTAGAATATCTAGGAGGGTTCTTAACTGACATTTAACATTGATAATGACTCTTAAAAACATTACTTTGGTTAATAATATTACTATGTATGGAGTTCTTCCTAGCTGTCCTCCACAAAGCTTCTGTTTCCCCCTTTCTGCATCCCCTTCCCTTTCTTCATTTCCTCCCTTTGTGTAGCTACTTTGGTGGCTCTTTTGTGGTGCTCTGCCTTCGGGGGAGGGCAAGGAGAAGGCTCCCTCAGGGGTGATGGTGAATTGGCATTTCTCTGATGTGTTGCAGGCTCTGTGGTGGGTAATGTGTGGAGTTGTCTGCTCCCCCAAATCAGCATTAGCCCACTTAGTGACTCCTTAATGCACTGGAGCTCCTTTTGCCAGAGGAGTGCTGAAATAAGGGAGCACAGTTAGAAATCATTAGCCTCAGTCTGGACAGGAGATTGGGAATGCCATGCAGGTTCCCCATAAACAAAAAGTATGTTTAATATGTTTTAAAAAGTAGAAGATGGCCTCATTATTTTCAGTTTGAGCTCACCTATGAAATGTATCTTTATTTATAGCAACAGATTTAGTAAAGGACACAAGAGAAAATGTGGGGTTGGTTTTTTTTTTTTTCAGAGCTTGACTTTTTCCGTACCATCAGCTAATTTTTTTCTCCTGCTGATTTTCTTCTTCTGCAACTAAAATATTCAATAATGACATGACAGGAACACAGAGAGACTAATCAGTCATGAACTAATTCTACTGCATTTCCTAAAGTATGTTTGAGGTTTAAAATCATCACTACTCAACTTTGAAGTGTTTTGTAGTGCTTTTTTTAGCATTTTGTCAATAGCCTTTGTACTTCAGCAAGAGCATCCTTCCAGTTTTGGGTAAATTAATTCAATTTAGTGTAGCAAGAACACTTTTATTTTAGTATTTTTTTCCAGAAGTGGTCAGGAATTTTTTCAAATTTTTTTTTCTCCACTAAGAAAAGGCAGGTCGGTTTTGTGGTGTTTTGTTTTGTTGTTTGATTTGTTTTGTTTTGGTTTTCTCCTTCCTCTTTTTCTTCCAGTTGAAAATGAAGTTTGGAAAGTCAAGTTTTGCCTAAATGCTTTAATTTCTCCGTTGAGAGAATCCACCTTTGAGTGGCTAGCCTTGCCTGGGAGGCATCTGTTAGCTCTGATTTTCCCTTGCAGAGGCAGCAGGGAAAGCCTGGATGGGCTTTGGGAAGAGGAGGCTGGGCACACACCCTCCCTCCTCAGCTGCCTCACTGCAAGGCTCCGGTGAAAATGCCACTTCCCGAGAGAAACAAGTGAAGTCAATAACATCCTTCCCAACAGGCAGCTGGCAAGCCAGGGGAAATATAATTTCACTGATCTGAAAAAGATTCTTTTCTGGAAAATGTTGCCCATGGAACTTTGATGTGTGCCTTTTTCTACTTTGTCTTGACTGGGAATAAATTACTCCCACCTTCTCCGGAAACGCAAGGGTTTTGTCAGAGAAAGTTTTCTATATGGTCTTATTTCTTTTCCTCCTAATTTTTTTCTTAGCCAAGGTCAATTTTATTCTAATCATGTTTAAAATATGTGGAGTGGAGATGAGAAAATGGTTTCTTGCCAGGCATTCTCATGGTGATCTTCATATTTTTTCCCTGTCGCTTCTGTAATTAAAGAAGTTAAGGGGTAGTGAGAGATTTTGTATTGAAGTTGAAAATTTACATTAACGTAACATGCTGGAAGTTTCTTTTATTTCTCCTCTTCTTTTTGCAGCCAGTACAAGGCTTTGACTATGCCAAGCAACACCTGGGTCAGCAGGGAGCAGAAGATGAAGTTTTACCTGTAACTCAGGAGACTGTCATACTTCCACTTCCAGTCAGAGATGCTCCTGCCTCCCAGGAGAGAGAAATTACCCAGGATGGGAGCACCATCAAAACTGCCAAATCCAATGAAACAAGGAAAAGGTACAGACTGGCATCTTTGCACGGAGGGGTGGAATAGGGTGCATGCTGCTGGTGGCTGTAAGGTTTGGCACCCCGGCTGTGTGTGTGGCAGATGGTTCCTCCATGATGTATCCTTGGTAGAACACTGGTCTGCCCTGGATATGTCAGATTGCTGCAAAATATGAGGTAAACCAAAGTGAGACCTTCACAGGTTGTACATTCATAGAGGAGGTGAAGGGGGAAGTGGCTTTCATGTTCTTTCTGGGGTCATACAGGAGATGAGCCCAAATGAGACATGAGACCTGTATCATGAACACTGATCATTTCCCAGTGACCCAAAAGACAGGACTTGGCCACTGTAAATTGCTGTAGCTCCACTGGTGGACTCAATCACTCCAGAATTAGCCCCAGTGCAGAAGGAAAAACCCTAAACATCCACTAAATTAGGGAAGACCTCTACATCCAAACCAGCTACAGCAGTACAAAACTTCTGAGGATGCAAGAATAGACTAGATAGTGTCAGTGTCTAAGGTGAAGCGTCCCAGGTTTGCAGTCTCTTGATACAAAGTCTCTAAGGTTGTAGGACCACAGATTTAAGGTCCCCAGGAAGCTATCTGGCTCCTCTTCTACCCTGCTGCAGGGTCAAACACCCCCCAACTCAAGTTTATCTACTTTATTTTAAAGTCTTTCACTGGTGGGATGATCACAGCCTCCTCCAACAATCTGTTCTCTTCTGCCTTTCCTGTTAGGAAATTTTACCTCATGTTTACCCTCAATCACCAACAGAATAGCTGAATAGAAGGTCATTATTTCTTGTCTCAGTCACCACAGTGGAGGAAAGAAGATTATCCCTTTATCCTGGCTGTTTCCCATGCTTTGTGCCCATTTTTCCTTGACATTAAATTAGAATGGAACTGAAGAATGATTCTGAAGGGAAGAGAGGAAAATAAAACTGTTAGGTAAACAACCTGAATAGAGGTAACAGTTGTTGTGTAATTCACTGGCATTACACAGTCCTTGTCTCTCGAAGGGACTTGACAACATAAAAGAAGAGTTATCTGGCTAGTGCAGAGAAATTCTGTAGCAAACCAGATCTTCATAGCTGAGTCACCTCATCTTGTACAATGACATTTGCCCCTTTGGAGTAATGGAAAGGCTTGGAAAACTCGGCACGATATTGCTGTGCCCTGTGGCAGGAACACACTGGAGCCAACACCGCTGCCCTTTATGGTGGGTGGACATCCCCACTGGTTATAAGCTGAGGTTTTCCCTACAGAAAAACGGAGACAGAAGGATCCTGAGCTAATTCCTGGTTTGGCATGCTTCTTTGGCTGTATAGGAAATCACCTGGAGCGTGGAAAGAGCTGTCTGCAGGGCTTACCAGTAGGGAGGAGTGAGCCAGCTGCGTTCGGATGTGAACTGCTATTCTGCCATTTAATGTCAGTGATGTGCTGCTCATACTGTTAAGTCCCTCAGACTGTGAGGGTTGGGTTGTACAGGTTGTGTGAACTGAACAGCACTTGTTCCTTTCAAAGTCTTCCATCCCCTGATGAAACGACAAATGGAAGATGACCGTGACATCAGCAGAAGTTGCTGGTGCCGGACCACCAGAGGTTGAGTCTCTGCAGGAATTGCTCCTTAAAACATTTTGAAGCCTCTCCAAAGCCACGTGTAAATACACACACACAAAAAATATAAACCAGCCCTATTAATTAATCCTCTAACAAAAGTGATTAAGCACTTCACGCAGTCCTTTGAATGAGCTCAGAAATCTCCCTCAACTTAATCTGCACCATTTTAAACAAACGTTGATAAGCACACTTGATCCAGGAATTCACAGGGAAGTTACTCTCATTATAAAATATGTTGAACCTTGGTGCCCTTCTAAGCAAATAACTAAGAGTTAGTTTTCCCTCCTTCAGGGTGATTACTTGAGTAAGTGAGAACATGCAGAATGTCAGTATTTTTCATTCCCAGGAGCTGTATCTGGGGTTGGAATTTAGTGGTTTCTGAAGATGAAGAAATATTTCTTGACCTTTATGTATTTGCTTTTTCATCCAGGCTACTTTGCAGCCTGGAAAGGTCAGTTTAAATCAGACTACCATGAAGTGGCTGGTAACTCATCAGAATATCTCCTCTGATAGCACCACTGAAAGAAACTTCTCAGTTATGACAGCCACTTAAAAGGAACGAATATATAGATTAGTGGCAGCAGAAATGATTGTGCAAGATATCCATGCTCGATTCTTTTCTGTGTTCCCAAGTGGAGCAGATTCTCTTCAGGTGTTGGTCTGTCCCTGGATGAATTTTTTTACTGGGCTGGGATTATTCATTAGGCAGTTTAAACAGACAGGTTTACAGGGGAGAAATCCTTACTTCACAGGAATATTTATTCCCAACAGAATTTCACTGGAAAATCCTCAGGCTGGACTGAGCTGGGCTGCATGCTGAGTTCTCATGGAGCCCTGTAGCTGGAAAGAACCTGTCTCAAATTGTGTGTATTTCCACCTAGGCTGTCTTCAAAAGAGAAGTCCCCAAGAGGTGCTTTTCTGATATTTGTCCCTTACTGTTCTGCCCACAGTAAATGCTTCCTGCTTACACCAGGCAGGGCGGTCAGAACTGGAGGTAAATGAATGTTTCAAGCTGAAGATTGAAACATTCATTTATTATATTGCCATAGTATTGGCAGTGATTTATAGGTTGGTTTTGACAGTTGTTTTGCTTTACTACCATTTTCTGGATATAAAGGCACTGTGACAGCAACAGAACTTGATTTGATTTTTTTTTCCTCTGTAAATGAAAGTCTTTCTGACTAAGTACTTTTTTTTTTTTTTTTTTTCCTCCAATGCAAACTCTTTATATCACCCCTGTCAGTGGCCATGACAATTCAGTGGTGGATTGCAGATAGGTTTGTGAATAGCTGCACTGGTCCAGTGGATAGTTTTCACTCCCTTTGTGGCAAGCTTCACGTGTAAAAACAACGTGACCACGTGTCTGGATGTGGACTAGCACCAAATGTACCATTTTCTACCTTGACCTACTCTTCCCAGCTTGCGCATTAGGACTTGAGTGACTTACCCACCCCAGGAAGAAGAAAAGTTCTGGTGATAGTTGGCTCCCAGTGCAGCCCAGAGCCACGCTGCTGCTTTCTGTTCCTGCTCCTTGCTGGGACTTAACGTGCAGTGAGTTCTGCCCTGCCCTCCCTCCTCACCCAGGGCAGGGACCAGTTCCAGGACAAGGATATGCAATGACTGAGTAAAAAAAAAAAAAACCTCTTAGGAGTTTCAGTAAATAATAGTGCTGGTTGAACCCCAGGTTATGTGCCAGGAGGAGAAAAGGAGAATTTTCTTATCACATTGTGTGTGCGTCTAAAGTGAGTGAGTGAATTTTGCATTGTGGCTGACAACAGTTCAGTGTAAACGCAGGCTAAATGACAAAGGGACTGGTTTATCCATACATACAAAAACAAAGGTCTACTTTGTTTTAACTGGGTAAATGACATTGAATTGATAATGGGATTTTTTTTTTTTTTTGTCCTCTGCAGTGGCATTTCTGTCATTGTGGAGGTTGTGCATGAGAAGTAGTTGCATTCCAAGCCACTGAGATGCCCATCAGCCCTGAACTAATTGAGAAAGTCGTGTTCACCTCCCATCACTCTGTTCCTACCGCGGCGTGTTTCTGTGTGCAGCTCATATTCTGTCTCCTTTTGGTACAAAATCAGACTTCAGAACTCAGTGATGCAAACTGTGCAAACGAAATAACCTTGAAATGAGGTTTATACGGAAGGAACTCACATCCTCCCTTGTTGCTATGGTTACTTGCAGCCGGTCCCCGAGTCAGAACGGCTCCATCGTCAGCAATGGGTCGGGAAAGCCCAGCTCTGGACGGAGCTCCCTCCAGAAAGTGATGGCACCTCAGAAAGTGACAAAAGACGAAGGAAGGAAAAGAAATGGTGAGAAGTGTTTCTTGATGAGAGCTGCTTGTGCTCATTCCCAGGGATGTACCCACCTGGGCAATAGTGAAACCATCCTCTTGCACCCTCAGCAGTACTTGGGCATATTGTGTGTGTAGTTGATCTGTTGGTTTTTTTTCTTTCCCCATTGCTGCTATAACTGTTTCTCAAGCTCCCATGAAACTGTGCTTTTTGCTCTTTCTGTGGGCCTCTGCAAGTTTTCTTTTTTGCTTCTTTTCCTTCTTCTTTTTTCTTGAAATGCCAGTAAACTAATGAAGATATGCTGCTGCTTAGTAGGTGGACAGGGTTTACAGCTTTTTTTTAATTGTGTAGAGCCCTAAGATGTTAATTTCCACTGCTGCTGTTGCTAAGCTGGCCCAGATCTGATGAGGATGAATTAATTAGGTAAAAATTAATTTGAGAAAGTGTGAAACATCCAATGCTTTATATTTCATTCTCTTACCATCCTGGGTACACCTGTTTGTTATTAACACTTAGTGGCAGCTTTTCCAGATGCACCCAGGATGTTACACTGGATGTTTCTTACAAGACCGTGGTTGATGGCAGTGACCTTATGACTTGAGATTTATCAGGAACATCTGATAAGAGTAGAACTTGATCCCCTTTCTTCCTTGCTTTTTTATGGCTCTCTGCTTATTTCTCCTGGGTTATAGCTTTGTTCCTGTAGCTATGAATAGAAAACAGTGGTTAACACTTATAAGTTTGAAGGTGTTTAATTATTTTTCCAAATATAGCTCATTTTTACAAGACAACAATGTTTATGGTTTCCAGAGTTAAAAGCTGTAATTTATGCTGTCTTTTTTCTAACCTACCCAGGGAAGCCAATATTCAAAACCAGTGCCAGGTGATGTTTACACGTGTAGGCAAAATAATTTAGTGAAGGTACTTTTTGTTAGGTGTTAAATCCTCAAAGAAAATTGGTGAGAACTCAATTTTTTTGTTAAAGAATTGACTAACACAGCATTCTTTCTTCTGATCTGGACTGTGGTACATTTCTAGAACATACACCAGCTACTTAAAGAAACTTTTGATGTACTATATAAAGAAATACTGGCCCTTTGTTTTATATCTTAATTTCATTGGACTTTTAGCTGCAACTTTACTTGATAGGAATAATCATGCATTTTAGAAATTATGCTGGAAAATATAATAAATATAATAATATTTTTTAAAAATATAATAACTGCTTTGTTGACATGTTTATTTTGCTCTCTCTCCTCTTTCTTCTGAAAAGAAAAAAGCCTGAATAATGATGTTACTTAATAGCTAAATGATTCCTAGTTGTAGGGCCCTATGAGAAACCATTTGTTCCTACTACATGCTGGCAGTTTCCTCGAGCAGCCCTTTCAGAACAGCCTCTGAGAAGGAAGATACTGTCATGGGAGATGAAATGACCTCCTCTTATCAGAATTATGGAGCTGACTTTGGAGTTGTGTGATCCCAAATGCCCATTGAAGTCGAAGGCACCCATTCCTTCTCCTCACAGAGCCTGCAGTTTGTTCCCCAGTGCTGTGATTACAAACACTGCTGTCGCGTCCGGTAGCTTGTTCTTTTCACAGGGCTTTACCTTGATCCAGTAGGGTTAGAATCCATGCAATGTGCTGGCTGTTTTCCCTTCCAGTTTAAGAAAGGAGCAGCTTTTCTCCCAGCTGTTTGCCTGAGCCTGCTCCAGCTCTCCAGCCTGGCTGCGGGCTGACAGCTCTAACACGCACGTCAGGGAAAGCAGCGGCGTGTTTTCTTCTCTGAGAAGCAGCATCTTCGAGCTGGAATGAATCCCTTGATGGTCACGTGTTTGATTTGGGGACTCCAAGTTAGAATGGCTCATTAGTTGCCATAGTTACAGGCCAATTTTAGATTCTATTTCTTGCTGACATTTTAGTTACAGGGGAAAATGACAGCACTGGATGTTGCCTCAGTACGTAAATTCCATGTGGCTTGTATCAAAATTGACTCCAAATGGAGTGTGTCAGGGCTGAGAGTGAACAATGTGAAACCAGCATAGACTGACAGGCCTGGCTTCAGGACCTGATGATTTTGAGGATCAGGAGAACTCTTCAACTGAGCATTATTTCCACAGAAAACACGAATAAAATATCTGCTTGTATCAAACAGTGGTCAGCTGTTGTAAGATAACCACACGGTTTTCCTTGGAGAACCCTTATTACTATAATAATGTAAAGCTTCCTTTCTAAAAGCTGATGAGTTGTGCTTTCATTTACTTCAGGCACTTAAAAAAAATTAAAACCTGTCTTAAAAAAAAAAAGTGCCCAGTTATGTACATTAAAGAACTCTAACAATTAATGAATCAACCAGCAGAGGTACTGGCAATTTCTGAGATGTCCTTCTAAGAGGACATGGAAGAGAACAACAGGATATTTGCACTTCCACCTATAGTTTTATTATGTCAAACATGATTCAGGGAGGTTGTTTTTTCCAACCTTTAAGTTGGAAAACCTTTCCATTAGCATCTTTGGGAGAGTGTGATTGCTTGAGGTTTTTTTAGGAAAAGCAGAAACTCTGATTTTCTGGAAGCTCTTAATGAAACACACGACTCCACGCCTTTTGGGCTAAGAACTTGTGTAGCTGAGCTCAGATTTGTGCTTCATCCTCACAAAAGGACATATATCACAGGTGGAGATGCATAAGCAGCATTCACAAGGAGTTAAACTTCTTCGTGTTAGAAACCTTCCTATTCCTCCTTCTAGGGATTCCAGCTGGACCAGCTTCTCATCTTCCAAGCATTTGGATGTTGCCTTTGGAAACAGGTGTAACTTTTCGGAAATAATTCAGTCACGGACCTCACTCCTTTTTAAAATATCAACCTCTAAGACTGTAATTTCCTTTGTCCAGGCAGAAACTGTCTGCAGGAACAAAGTAGCAGCGAGGAAAACTTGGCTGTGTTATTGCCTTAGCTAAAACCAAAGGGATTTTTGGGCGTAACTCAGCCAAGCTATGATACACTGCCTCCTTTATTCTACAGAAGCGTGGGCCACTAGTTTTCGCACTGTCTGATGTGGCAGCTCAGCGTCAGAGCCTGTTTTTCTGAAGTTCTGAGCAGTTGTCTGTAGTGACTCAAAACAGAATGAAACGTGGCGACAGCGATGTAATCCAGCGGCAGCGATGGAATGGCCTGCTTTGACACAGCGAGCTGGAGGATGTGGTGTAACCCAGCAAACATCCAGCACCCTTCATCTGCCTTTTCTTTTCTGGGTGGAGTGAAATGTGGAAAGGACTGCCAGGTTTTGTTGCTTTAGAATTGGTTTCTTAATCTGGCTAACTCATCTTGTGACTCCAGAGGGTCGTGGCCAGTTGGGACAGATCTGCTCTGGAGGTATTCATCTTTCCAGTAAGAAAGATCCCTGTCAACTGCATTGGAGCATATGTGCAGATCTGAAGTGAGATGATTCCCATTCAAGATGTGTGTGTCCCTGAAAGGCTAACAAATCAGAATTCTGGGAAGAATTCATGGTGTAGAGAGAGAGGGGTCTGTTCCTTTCATTGTTCATTCCCTCATCCTGAAGCATCAGCTTCATTTGCCCCAGAAAGGGTGTTAAGTGGGGATCTTGATCTAGCTCTTCACCCCCTCACAATGAACTCCTAGGCTTTTTGGAGTCAGTAAATGACATTTAACAATAAAGGGGTAAAAAAACCCCAAGATTAAACAAAATCCACTTGTTCAGCTGAAATCCTGTGTATTGGGACTACTTACTATTCTCCTTGAGCCTCCCAGATGCTTTACACCTCAATTCTTTTTTTTTTCCCCTCCAAAGATTCCAGTTTGTTTGACACAACCTTAATATTTCCCCATGAAGCTTCAATTTCTTCCACTGCTCTCTTTTGTTGTTGTTTACTTGCCTTTAAATATTGAGAGCACTGTGACCCTGCTGCAATCCTGGTGGTGACAGGGAACCCTCTGTTTCTTCGGACTTAGTCAGTACCGTTTCCTGCTGCTTTCTCTCCTTGGTTTTGGCTTGCAAGAGGCAGCCAAATGGTATAACCTGTTCTGTGAAGTTCTGCAAAGCAAAAGGTGCCAGGGCTCCTCTGCCTCTCTCCCCAGAAGCAGAGTGGGAGGAAAACAGCACCTCCAAGTCATCCTCACAGCGTGAGTAGGGCCACCCAAGTGTTGCATTCACAGGAGTGGTGGAACTTGCAGAGAGTAGGTGGCCTCCTTTAGATTGGTGTGTCTAACCTAACTTGCCTCTTTTAATTTTTTTAAAATTTTTTTAATTTTTCAGCCAGAGTTTTTTGATTGTTTTTCTCATGGCAAGCAGATCCTGCATATGGATGTTGCTAAGGCTCCTGTTGCAGCAGACCTCTGAGGGATCTGGGATCTGCAAGTGGTTGCACAATTAAGTGTTTCTTCATTCGTGTCTGCCTTTCCCTCTGGATGAGCTTTACTCTGCCACTAATTGGGTCTGACAGCAGTTTTCGTCCAAGCAACAGTCTGAAGAGCATGTAGATGTTCAAGCCATCAGATCCAGTGGCATCCAGTCTGGATGGTTGTGATTTTTCACTAATATGTCAGCACTGAAGAAGACAAATATCCAGTTTTATTGTGCAAACAGAAAACTATTCCTGCAAAGGTTTTTAAAGCTCCTAGAGAGCTACTTTCTCAAAGAATTGGCTTCTGTTTCAGGTTCCTATGCCTTCCCTATCTTCTTTTTATAGTCATCCTCTTTGTCAGTTAAATAATTTTCTTTTTTTTTAGTTATTGAACATACCTTTTACAGAAATGCCAGCCAAGAAGAGGGTCTGGTGGATTTGCTGAAAAGATTATGAAATACATGGTCTTTTTTTGAATGACTTTGATATTTAAATAGCTGAGGCAGATGTAGTTAGAGGAGAAGACATAACCACAGAGAGAGATGTCCTTGCTTCTGCTTATAAGGATGACAAACCTTCATAGAAAGCGGATGAAACAGGCAGCTAAAAGATAAGTAGACACCCCAGGTATACAGTTTCATAGAAAACCTGCAAATACCAGTTTAGAGATCTCAAATGACCTGCTCAGGTGGCTCCTGCTTCAGGATCCCAGGCAAACCCAGGACTGCAACACCCCATGCTCATCACCTAGAATTTAGCAGACTTTACACGTAAGAAAGTACTGTCCAGGTGGAATCATGAGCTGCTTCCATTAGTCTGTAAGGTGTCTGATTCTGAAAATGTCATATTTGTGCTGTTTGTGAAAGGTCTAGAATAGTACCATCTTGCAATTGGGTTTATTTTTAAGCAGTATCTGATAGAGAGGTATTTCTGCCCTAAGTAGGTTCAGATATTAATGGTAGGAATCTTGTATTTTGCTTCAGAAACAGAAGTTTCTGTATTGCTGAGAGCTCTTGTTCATACTTCTCTGTAGGTAATCATCTGACCAGTGATATTATCTGGATGGTGCAGAAAATGTCTAATTTTTTAATTTTTTTTTTTAAATAGAGAGATTTTCTCTAAAATGAAAATTATTTCCCTATTATTAAATTACATTCAGGAATCAAGATTGCTGTTTTAAATATTGATACGTGGGCTCTTTCCTATTTCCTAAGGAGCTTCTCTTTTCCTATCTGTGGCATTTTTTGCTCTTTTTCAAACTGTAGGTGTGCTCTCTGGGTGTGGTTACAATGTTTGCCTTCCATTGATGCAAAATTGATCTTTGAAAGTTTTCACTACTTCGTGGAACGAGCTAAGAAAAGGCAGAGCATGTCCACCTGCTTGCAAGTCTTTCCCAGGTTTTGGTTTTAATGCATTTTTATTCCATTGACATCATTCTTTTTCTGAGGATTCCAAAATGGGTCAAAGGGTTGCTCCTGAGCAGGGCATCACACATCTTTGTTGAAAGTGTTTTGCTGTAAGGTTACCTGATTGACAGGTGATTTAAATGTCCTGACTGTTTGTTTGGGGTTTTTTTTTAGTGGGTATTTCAGTTCTTTTTTCTCTCCCTGCCAAGGTATTGTGATAGGGGGAGAGAGGATGAAAGACAAAGGGTAGAAGGAAAGAGAGAGCAGAGAAGAAATCTTCTGTCCCCTTCTTTGATATCTCTGGCTGACAAAAGTATGACTTTTGCTTTTTGGCTGTAAGTTAGCAACTAAATAAAAATAGAGTACTTTGCCAATCTAATTGTTTTTAAATGTTCAGAGCTACAGTTCCGCAGCTGCTTTTCCACGGGACCAGTGTCACGAGTGGGTAGCACCACCTGCTGGCACTGCCAGCTGGAGGTGGCGCAGAGCTGCGTGGAAACGGGAGGGATAGCATCTCTGAGGCAGCGTGCACTGAGCAAATCTTGTGTTCTGATGGCTGAAGTGGTGTGGAGATAAAAGTTTCAGTGATGGTCCTGCTCTTCAAGGAGCCGGTGCCACGCCGATCCTCACTGCAACTGGCGCTGGACCTGAGTAAATGATTGCTCTGGGTATATCCTTGTGTACTTCAGTCACAGATCACGAGGGGTAATTCAGTCTCAGTGGATCATGTGGCATGGGGTATCTAGCACGAGATGTTTCAGAGACGAGAAGTTGCTGTTAAGTAGGTGATTGAGCTGGGTTTTGCCCTTTTCTGCCGCTGAACTTTCAAGTCTCGCGCTGTGCGCTCACAGACAGGGCAAGCACGAGGACAACAATGACTCCATGAGGTGTTGGAGTGCATCTGTTTAAAAACAGAGATCAAAAACATCACTTTACATCTGTGTTGCAAACTATGATAGGCAAGGGTGCTCACTGTGAGTGACTATAAAGAATATCTGGGCAGTTTTTTGGCGTTTCCCATCCTGGGCAGTTGCTTGCCCAGCTGGAATGAGTGGACTGGCCCAGGGCAGGGATACACAGCGGAAACAAACACTCCAGTACTCTCCCTTTTCTCTGAAATCCCTTTGGTTTGTTTTTTTTCAAAGTTTGGACGTTGTTGTGATTCAATCATGTTATAAATACTCGTGGTGAATTCTCTCAGGAAGAGCTGGATAGGGGAAAATAATAAAATTCCCACAGTACTTGCTACGGTTCACTGCCACTACAGGCTATAGCAATGTGCCAGTAACTGCAGATCACAGGCTCTTTATCTTTATCTTTATCTTGGACTGCTGCTCAGTTACTATCTGGGCTCACCTGAGTTGTAATCATGAAGAGAGACCATCTTTGTTGGTAAAAAATACAATTCAGACAAACCTTTTCTCTCTTGGAGATAGTCATGTCAGCATGGGGGGTGCCCTGTTAGGGAGGTGTGGAGGTTTCAGCAGTGAATTACACACAAGACCCAACTTCCAGAACTGCATGTGACCACTTTACATGAGAACTGGTTCAAAATTCCCCCTGAGAGGAGCATCCACGCTCACTGTCCTGTGGATACCTTCCTGTTCGGTGTGGTCTGTGACAGGCAAGGATCTCCTCGTTGTCTGGTTCTGCTGATGTGATGTCCTAGAGGTGTGGGGGGTCAGGGGGAGTCCGGCAGTTACTGCCACTGCCAGGCCTGTGATCTGCTCGCTCTGCTGAGCACACAAATCTGGAGTGTTTGAACAACCCCAGGGGGGACAAGGGGATTTCAGACCCACTCAAGGCTCTGTCCTGTTTGGACAGTTCCGTGGAGCTGGAGGGACAATATTTAACGACAGGATGATTTAACCCACATGTTACTCAAAAGCTCAAGTGGTGCCAACTCCAGTCCACGCTGAGCACAGACAGGAAGATAATGAGCTTACTCAGCGGGTTCATATTTTATGTTACTGCTGTCAAATATTTTCTTACAAAATCATTGGCTGTCTAAACCGCTGAGTTTATACAAGTCCACTGTAATTTGTGCAGTGATTAAATATTAAACCAGAGTGTATTTTCAGAGGAAATAAATTTAGAGCAGGCCACTTTGTTCTTTAGCGGAGGATCTCTGCTCCTGTCAGTTAGGAGATGGAGCAAACATTCTTCCCTCTAATAGCCTAATTATTCAAAAATGTTTGCAAGGATCTCTTTGTAGAATTTGTGCTCTTGCTTTAGTGTCATTCTTTCATTTTAAAATGAGGATAAGAGGTTTCAGATTCAACAAATGACAAGGTGATGCAGGTTTACAAAAAAAAAAAATTTTGAGGAGAAAGGGCCCAATTGCATGTGAAAGAATTACCCCAAAATTAAAGATGCTTTGCCATGCCATTTAATTTTAAAGATTGACAGAAGCCTTTCTCTGCCTCTTAAGAATTTTAACAGTTTAACTTTAGAGACACCTGAGGTACTGCCTTGCAAAGCAAAAATTAACAGAAAATTGGATTCCATCCGTTTCTTAAGGACGTTCATAACACACAGCAATAACGCTTTTAATAGATGGCATTTTAAGCGTTAATAACTTTTGAAAAATAAACCTACTTATTTCAGCAAATTTTGAATGTGCTCTTGGAGTATAAGACAGAAAAAAAAAACTGCACTCTTGGGTTAGATCAAGTATAACTACTGATGCTGTGGCATGTGAGGATTTGTGTGTGTGTTTCCATGTGAAACCTAGGAAAACATACACTTTATCTTTCATTGTCATTTTCATGCATTTTTCTGTTTCATTCTTCTCCTTTTTTCCCATCTTATTAGTGCAGATGGGAAGTCAACCTTCTTTGGGGAAGTGACAGATAATCCTTTGAATACCTAATGTTTTCTGTGATCTCATGGGATGTTTTATCCAGTGTGGGGGTCTTCCAGGTCTGCACTTGGAGTGCAGTGATCACATAATCAATCTAAAGCATGTACTTGCTGAATTTCACCTTGAACGTGCAGCAAAAAATATCTGTGTCTGTGTGCTGAATAAGTTTGATGTGCTTTAGTGCCGGTGAGTGATGAAGAGGAAGGAGGCATTCTCTTTGACAACATTGCCAAATCTGCCATTGACCCCTTCGACACCTCTTCTGGATCAGTACAGCTCATAGCCATCAAACCCGTGGCCCTGCCTGCTGTTCATGCTGCATCAGAGAGGAGCCAGGAATCTGCCATCATTAATGGGGAGGTAAGGACCCTCTGATAATGCCTCCAGCTGTTTCCTTGGCTACAGCCACAAGTGGAACAATCTTAAGCCTGTTAGAGTTGAGGACTGGCAGGAGCTTTTCGCCCTGATGCTATATAAAGGTCCATTAGCATTGTGGGCTGAGAAGTCTGAGATTTTTAGATTTGCTCTTTCACATGCACCTGTGAATGCCTGCAACCTTGGAAGAGGCAATTTTCTGTATTCCTTAAAAAAAAAAAAAAAAGGTGACTAATGAAGGCAGAAAGCAGAATCAGATCTTTGCGTGAATTCTGTGACTGAGCATGGAAATGTGTATGGATCATCTGGGTGCCAGGCTGATCTTTCTGTAGTAAGGAATACGTCTCATTCACAGCGAGAAGGGATGCAACGGGACCGTGGCCTTGCTCAGAGGGTGCAGTTGTTTCCTGGGAAAAACAAGTGGGATGGCACAAAAGTCTGATCCAGATGCTGGCCAAAAAAACATGCTTTGCCTTCAACACTTATGTTCATGTTGTGATGTACACTTAATCAAGGCTGGTCTGTTTACAAAAGACTGAGGGTTTTATATAGTTGTTAAACATGACAGGAACAAACCAGAGGGGTGCCTTGTTTGCAAACTCACACTGCAACAGTCATTTAAAGATCTACCAGCATCTCCCTGTTTAAAAGCAACAGGGAAGGCTGTTGCCAGAGACACAGTAAAAGACAATCAGGCTTCCCATGTGGGCCTGGATTACAGCAGTCTGTTGTGCTCCGTTTCATGCTTGTAATTTGGATCCTGACGTGCAGTGCTGCCTCCAAACTCGGAGAAAGGCTTACTTAGACTTCAGCATCTATTTTCTGTAAAGCAACAGGATGACACTCCTGGTGCTGTGTGCTCATACACTTTCTATAATTTGTGAGAAGACTGCAGAATTTGCCACTGGAAGCACGAAGCCCAGCTAAATTCCTGATTTCCAAGTAACTGCCAGTTTGAAGCAGGAGAAAAGTTTTCTCGATACTTAGGAGCAACCACGACTGAGCTGGACCAGGTCAGACCAAACACCCTTTTTTTAAGGATCCTCTCTGACAGGGGCCCATAACAGATGTGTACTTATGGGGCCCTAGGAGAGGTTTCACTGGTGAGTTCTGCCTGTGGTGCCCAAAAGCAGTCACGGCGTTGGGTCACGCCAACTGGCTAACATCATCAGTGTTTTTCTTCAGTGGGTGTATCTGAGTCACTGTTGTAATGGTACACGGTTTTTTAGGCTAAAATTATTTAACCATCTGCCAAGCCGTAAAAATGCAGCGACTCTGTTCACTTGCAGTTCCTCGCCGCTTGCAGATGGCACGGCGTGGCGCAAAAACGCGCTCTGAGAGATGACACATGCAGAGCATCAAACACACCCTGACAATGTTGTTTGCAAGTAGCCAGCCCACCACCGTCCTTCAAACATCTCCTTGCCTTTTAGGTGAACAAGGCTTTGAAGCAGAAGTCCGATATAGAACATTACCGCAACAAGCTGCGCTTGAAAGCCAAGAGGAAGGGCTACTATGATTTCCCGCAGGTTGATAACAGCAAGGGGCTGACAGACAGAAAGAGGATGTACGAGAAAAACCAGAAGGAGCTTGACCACATTTTGGATCCAGATGCAGATGTCTCGTCTCCATTTGCTGAGCCTAAGAACAGGTGAGGCTTTTTATGTGCAGTTTCTTCATCTGGTAGGAGAGGTGATGTCCAGGGAGTCAGTTTTTAATGAGCCAGATGTTTGTTGTGTGGTCACTGGTCCCTCCTGCTTTATAAAGGAAATTGATATAATCCATGCAAAGCCTGCCCTCTGGTAAAACTGCAATGTAGTTAAAAACGAAACAAATGGAAAGATGAAAAAAGGAAGGGGAGGGACTGTTGCAGGTTCTTCTGAGTCATTTTCAAAGGTAAACAGAAAAAGTGGTAGCAACGTGTTTGGTAATACTGAGAGTGCATTTTAGGCTGAAAGTTAGCATCTGAATTTGGTCCTTTCCAAAGTTCAGTGGTGTTATTATTTTGTCATTATTTTTATCTAAATACTACTATTGCAGTAGGCATGAGAAAACAGAAGCAGTACATTGTCCATGTGTTTCAGTAACTCCTGCAGGGATAGTATCTGTGAGGTGTTGTGATTACCTGTTACTGGTAATCTTCCTGTGCCTGTAACAGGGAATCATCATGTGCTTATCTGTGATGTGAGGCTGGCATGTTGTATAACAGTACTAATGTTTGATTAACACTTCACTGTCTCGTGAGGATGGCACACCAGTAGTGTTCATCTCCCCGTTTTAGAAAGGAGGGGGGAGTGCACATGCTGACTCTGCCTGAGCCTCCTGAGGCGGGTGGGTGGATCTGCTCTGTTGCTGGTGCTCTCTGAGGCACAAACTGACACACTGTAAAGAGGAGATCACACCAGTCCTACCCCAGGAACGGCACAGATTTCTCTGCCTCAGGTGTGGCAGTGGTGTGAAGGATTACAAAAGAGTATGTTTGCCAGTTCACCTCGTACCAGGAGGGCTCTGGTTCTTACTGTAACCAGGGACAAGCAGCAGTTGATCCATGAGAGAAAAAGGGATGCTGAAGTACATTTCCTCTAGAAGTGGCCCTCATGCCTGGAGGTGCAGTCTTGTATCCCATCTCCTGGAAAGCTGAGACCAAAATTGTCCTATGAGCATAAATCAACTGCAGTCAAAGCATCAGCAGTGACACAGATGTTGCATATAGTGCAACTTCAGCGATTATCCTTGGGGCACAGAGATAAAAAAGACTGTAATGGGAATTACAAAAGTGGTGTTGGCTCAGAATATGGACAGAATCTGTGATCAGATGGATTTCTATAGGTCTACAGTTAAATGACTGAGCCCTTGATGGGCTTTTTCCCACCGTTGCACTGGTCAATGAAGGAAAAAGATGCTGACTCACCTGTTATGTTCTTGGTGGAGGACCTGGGGCATCATTTCCTTGTGCAGTTTATTGTGCACTGAAAAAGTAAGAAACGGGACCCTCGTTACAGGGCAGTCCTGCGCTGGGCTCCCTATCCAGAAGGTGCAGACGGGACACCAGGAGCATTTGTTGAGGAACATATTTAGTGCAGGTAGCTGGAAAGTTTCCTTAACACCTCGACGTGGCTGTGTGCTGTGCACGCAGTGACGGATTGAGGCGCTGCTTTGGGTGTTTGTTTTGTGTCACGTACCACGTAGGAAACGCTTCAAGCACTACACTGAAGCTTTAAGACTGGCCATCTGCCTTCTGTTAAATGCGCTGATGTTTGTTTGCTCACGTGCCAATGTGCCGAAAGATCCCAAAATACGTGTAGGTTTTTTGTTTTTTGTTTTTTGTTTTTTTTTTCCTGCGTGTTGTGTAAACATGTCACAGCCTATCTGAGATAGGCATCACAGGCACGATATAAACTGCTTGAAGGCAGGTGTACTGCAGGGGAGGAACGATTTCAGCGTGCAGCTGAACCGTGAAGGGCTGGCTGCTGCGTTTACTTGCCAAATGTATAGCCTGTATCCCTACGTGGGAAGAGAAAACCCTTTCTGTTGCACTTTCTGTAAAGGCACAGAACACGTAATGAGCTTCACAGATGTTGCAGATGTTTACAAAGAGAGCAAAACAATCTGTGCTAAAATTTCCACACCAGGACCTGGAAGTGAACTCAAGAATGCTGCAGCGCACGTGACAATTACTTGTCCCTAGTTTTCTAGCAAAAATAAGATGTCCAAAGTGGCACACTGCTGGAGGAAAACCTTGAATAATCCTGCAGGGTAGCATGGGATTTGGTAAATATTGATAAATGAATTGATACAATTGTATTTCTGTAATGAAATAAAATTGCTTTAGAAACAATCAGGCGAGCATACAATTGAAAAAAAATTATTTCTAACTTTTTCTGCTTTGAATTCTTGTTTATGTCATTAGTTGTAGCAATTAGAATCTGAAAAATTGCATGTTCTGAAAATAAAATCACTAACAAGTAAGTCAAGCTTTTAGGGAAAAGGTTTACTCCGCTCTTTTCTGTTTTGTATATATTTGTGTAACTTAAATCACATCATTACAGCGTTTCCAAAACAGATCAGAAAATAGAGAAACACTTGATTACTCAAGATCGCCTTTGTGTTTTGGATGCTTTTTAAATTGTATTTAAAAGTGATTTACAGTTCATTGTTGCTAAATGATTTGATTTTTCCAGCACAAGCTGCTTTGTGTTCTTCAGTCTTCCGTACCACAAAACTCATGTTTTAAAACATTCCAGTTGTGTTCCCAGAAGGCACTCGCTAACCCATTTGAATGCCAGTTGTTACGGTTCATACCTCCTTTCTCATTAGCAAAACTCTCTTAAATGAGGTAATTGGCAATCTCAAGGTAATTTTTAAGAGCCTACTGATGATATGCACTATTCTTGGATTTTCTTTAATAGTTTGTAATCAGGTCAAGAATCTGCATGGATTACAGAGCTGTGTGTGTGAAACCCTTGGAAAATATATCACAACTGCCTCAACTAAGTATTTATGGACCTGTTGTAAAACATGACATTTTAGAGACCTTTAGTGTAGGAAGATAGAGATTGTCAGATCTGATTAGCCTTTGCATAGCCTAGTTGTCCCTGTTTTCTGGTAATATCAACATTACAGTCAGAGGAAGAAAACAAGAGAAGGAACTTGAATTTATTCAGTATTATTTTTATAGGGGAAATTTATTTCAAAAGCTCTGCTTGTCTCCTGCTTTGGCAGTGCATTTGGGACTTTCACACACGTGCTCGGTGATTTGTGATCAAGGGTCACGCACAGAAGTTTTTGAAACTTGCCTTTAAACTAAGTGCGCGCCTGAGTAATTTGTTTAATCACAAGTGTGAAATTGATATTTTTTTGTCCTACCTTTTATCCTGTCTGATCATGTAAATGTCCTACTTTCTGGATTTCTGCAAAACAGCTTCTGCTGCTCTAATCTGTCAAGGCAAAAAGTGCTGTTAACCAAATCTAGAATATCTGAAGAATTATTTATCAGTGAATTCATTTGGACTGTCTTGTCTCTTCACTCCATTGATGGCTCTGGAGATGTTAAACCATGGAGTGACTGAAGGTGTGAATTCAGATGTAACAGTGTGACTTGTCTTCACTATGAACCTTGCCAGGTCCCCTGTGTAAGCAGCACAGAGAGCACACCAGATGACCTGATCTAATTGTAATTTCTGAATGGAATAATTGCACAAAGCAGAAAAATAGCATGGCTAGACAATGATGACTTTCTGTCAGGCTCTAACTGTGTTAATAAACGAGGCTGGCATGCCATTATTTGATCTGTTACTGATCTACAGTGGGGCCATGCAAAGAAAATGATTAATGGACAGATACAGTATGAAAACATCTCTTCTGGTTTAGAAGTAGCCTTCTTAAAAGATGCACACAGTGGTGAGAGCTCAGTGCCTAGGGATGAGCAGCACTTGGCCCCAGCGCTGCTCAGAGCTGTGCTGGAAGCAGCTGAATCCCAGGGAGCACAGCTCTCTGAGGAAGTTGTTGTGGCCAGTTAGCAAACTGACTATTTAAAACCAGCATCTTGCATGCAGTTTCCTCCCACTCCTGTTTCTCTTCCTGTTCACTTTGCTGGGTGTTTGTTTTGGTGGAGTGTTATTTCCATTTCTCCCTCATTGCTCAGGATCAGCAACCAAATCTCTGCTCCCTGTCTGTGTCTGTGGGAGGTCCTGTTATTTTTTGATAGTTTTTTAAATGAATTTGAATCATATCAGCTGAGGTCAAAGGGGACCTGATATCTTCTTGGGGCATATTTCTTTCTGATAAGCTCCCACTTATGATGTCCATGTCTTTTACATAACTTCATTTTCTTAACAGTAAAAAAATGTAATAATATCTTAATAACATGAGTGATTTCTAGCACTTCATATATATAGAAGGACTGTCCTATAATAAAGTGGTATTTCTGTGAACCTCATCATTTTAGAATAAAGGTAAGTATTAAAGACTGCTGCCTGTCATATTTTTGTTTTCATTTACTGGTTTCTCATTCCATGTTTTCTAGGCAACCACTGAAGAACTCGGTGTACAGGAGCAGGCAGTCTCTGAACAGTCCTAGCCCAGGAGAAACTGAGATGGATCTTCTTGTGACTCGAGAAAGGCCTAGGCGTGGAATCCGCAACAGTGGATATGATGTAAGTTTACTGGATATATGCAGTGAACTTTTCTCTGCAAAGTCTTAGCTTGCTCCTAAACCCAGGAAACTACTGATAAGCCACAAACCAGATTGTCACGGGATATTTAGTGTTAGAGGACTTTATGTGCACTCAGCAACCTGAAAAAAAAACCTCAGGATGTTCAAAGCACAGACTCTGCTTTATCACTGTACATCATTTTGCAGTCTGAAATGCAAGCAAAATGTTTACCCTGAAACTCATTAATTGCCGAAATACTGAATTTTGAATTTAGATAGTTCTTCTAAGTGTGCGACCATTTACGTGACTGAGCTTTTTTCATTGCAATTAAAATGCCCTGTTTGTTCTGAAGAACAGCCTGAAGCTGCTCTCTTGATTCAGAAGAGTGAACAATCGACTTCTGGGAATTTCACCTAAGTCCCGATGTCAGTGTTTTGTGGAAATCCCCTAGGGACAGATACTGTCCTCTTGCTACCTCACAACTGGGAGAGTTTTGCGTAGGTGAATGTCAAACCCAGCCAGGGGAGATGCTGCTTTATGGTCCAAGGAGCTCACACAGCCAGCACAAGGCAGATGAGTTGTCCTGTGCAGTCTCAACATACGCTGGGTGCAAGTTGGCATTGCGTGCACCTAGAACGAGGACAAAAATCAGCCCCACACTGGGGTAATGTAGAATTTTTCAGTCCTTCGTCACGTGTACGAACTACTGTAGCTCATCCAACCCTGAAGACCAGTCCCCAGAGAAAGTCTAAACCACTCTGGAAAGCAGGGAAGTTCACCTGTGGTTGTGCATCCTCTGAACTCCGTAGATGACAAACATTTTGCGTGGGGCTTTATTGTCACCCCCGCCGGCTGCCGGGAGCGTGTTTTTTTAGCAAGGTGAAGTAAAGTGCCAAGGTCAGGGGATATGTTCAGGGAACTTTAAATCTTTCAGAGAATTCTTCAGGGCATATTGTGGTTGTCAGATTTCTTAAATGATTTTCTGCATTTGGACGCTTGGAGTCAGACAGCAGGAGTCATGTTGGGCCATGGCAGTGGGATGGCTGGTTCACTGCTCTCTGAGGGATTAGAATACTAGTACTAAGCTAACAAAAGCTAGTTTTTCACAGGGGATGTTTTCCTGAAATCATCATGAGAGGGGGCATTGCAGCAGGTTTTAATAATATATTATAGCACATTGTGTATACCGCATGTAAAATGTATTTTAAAGAAAATTTGTTAAAAAACCTTGCACGTAGATTAATGAGCTTATGCAGATTCCGAAGTGCCCTGCGGAGTAACTGCAAACTCTGAGATCTGTGTGAATCAAAAAAAAAAAAAAAAAAAAATAGAATTTGCTTTTGCCTCCCTTTTAATGCTGCAGTTGGGCCACCTGTCCCTGGCACAGTCTGGTTAAGTGATGTGTTACATAAAATGGTCCTGCCCGATGCGCTGCAGATCCACTGCAGTGCACCTCTCCTAACTCGGAATGTGTTTCCTGCCTGCAAGCAGAAAAATGCCACTGGGAAAATGGGACAGGATATTGAAATTTAGTTCCCAAGCCTCGAGCCTGCAGCGTGGGCTGGTTTCCCTCGCTCCCGTTCGAGGTTCCTCAGAGCTCTGCCGCGTGGCTGACGGGCTTCGTCTCCCGGGATACCTCATGGGTGGGCACTTGGAGCTGTATCTGTGCGTGGAATTTATATGGATCTCACCAGTGGTGCAACTTAAACATCCCTGTAAATCTGACCTCTGAAAAAGGTTGAGGAAAGGCTCTGAGAAAGGGCTGGTTTGAATATAGTACCGTTTTTTGACATCCAGTTTGTCCTTTTGAAGGTCCCAACCTTCTCAGACTCCTCTAATATCTTCTTTCCAGTACACATTATTTAGCAGCAGGTCCTGCCAAAGAATAGCGGAATTTGCATTTTTATAAGCAGTTCCAAATAATTAAATTTGATTCATAAATGGCTGATATTGTCTTCATGTCCTGAGATTTTTTTTTCCATATTAAGAAATAGATTTTTTTGAGCTGTTAACAATACACCTATGTTGTTGTGCGTGTTGAGGTTTATCTTCTGAACAGTGATAATATTTTGTAAAGAAAAGAGATGAAGATCCCCCCGATTCTTCAAGAAAACTCCTTAAGACTTGCTGGACTTACATGCACAACCATAGGTTTCCCCTTCAATAAAAAATGTCTAGTATTTCTGTTACAGTTTTCTAAAATACTTCATTCTATGTAATTGTTTTTCATGATAGTTCTCTGAATCATGGTTTCTCAGAGCTGAAAATTGGTAAGGATATGAACATAAATATAAAATATTCTATATATGTCCATGTGGAATATGTAGCTTTTTTTTATTATTTTGGCAGGTACATTCTACTGTTTCACGTTTTCAGTATATTATTTGTCTTTATAGTGTCTTTTATAGATGAATTACTATTGAACAGTATCTATCTTTCAATTTTAAAGAATCCCAACAGGGTTTGCTATCATCACCTTCATCTTGGAATTAGATTAAGAAGACTTTATTAACACGTTTATTATTTTCAACATGTTCAAGGACAACTGAGAGTGGAGCAAAAGCCATAATGAAAGGCTCTGGAATCTCTAGACTGCTAATGAACTGTATACCTTAGCAGAAAACATTTAGGTTGGTTTTGGTGTAAAAGAAAGAAAATGGCCCTATTATACATATCCAAGAGACCTTTATAGAAGAGAATTCACTGGCATGATTTTGTTGATGTAGCTAAATTAATGCAGTGCCTCAAAAAGCTCATGGGTTAATGTTCACATCAGGAATTTTTCTGATATAGTTGCAGCAGCAGAATTATGTAAGTGTATAAAGTCTGTCTCTCAGTAGAGGAGGTTTTTTTTTTCCCTTCTTCATGTAGCTCTAGTTCCTTCTATTTGTACAGTCACTGTGTATGAACAATATCCTGATTTTTGTAATGGTTGCATTAGTGAATATGTGGCATCTATTTATGGTGTATATTTGTTTCAGTAAATAGGAAAGCAAATGGCACACATCAGAAAGTGACAGGGTGAATTGAAATATATATTAAACCTTGAGGGGAAGAAATGATCACCAGTCTCCTCCAAAATCTTCATGTCAACTTTTATGTTGATCAGTCAAAACCAACTTAATGTTGACTGCTAATATGCAACTTTTATTCGTACAATGCATTTTAGATGTTCTGCTGAGGTCTAAAGGCTTCACCAAGGGGTTGTAGAAAACCTGATTTATTTCATCACTGGGTACTAATAGGTCTCTTGTGGGATTCCACTCACTGACATTTTTATAGGCATGAGGAAATAGAAGAACCGTGGTTATTAATCCCCCAGCTGGGACAGGATGACTTTATAGACTCTTTGGCTGCACTTATACAAATTACCATTGCATTTTATAGCCAGGCTTCTAAAATGTACCTGATTCTTATTTACTGTAACAACACAAACAACAGTGGAATCAAAATGCCGGAAGAAAATTTACCTGAAAATTTCCTACAAAGTTTTTTCATTTGCTTTGTGCAGTTACATTCTCCCTCCCCCAGTCTGATGTGTGTATCACTTAGGAAGCCTGAGGTTGGGTTTGTGGTTTTGAATTTGGATAATATACTGTATAAACATAACTATATAAGCTATAAGAGTCGTTGTTATAATTTTTCTTCTTTCGTTTGCTGCTGTATTTTCATTAAATACAAAATAGATAGTTAAAATACAGAAAACAAATGAATCTTTTACTTAAATTTATTATCAGTTTTTAGACTGGCAGTGTAACTGTTATCTGAGTGGCTGATAACAGAAGAAGAAAGTCAGTTTGATATTTTTCTCTGAAAAGGAAAAATATGTAGGATGATTGTCCAACCTTGCAAAAGGTTAGAGGCACAGTTGCTTATCTATTCAGGTGTAGAAAAGTATGATTAGATGGGAAGAAAAAAATATGCCACACTAGGAGTTACAGAAGACTAAAACCATCAGGATAGGGCTGGAATTTTTAGTAAGAACATCCTGTTGTATTCTTTTATTTGTGTCTATTTTAAACGCTAGCACAGTTCTAACCTCGTGCTATATATAGAAGACAGCACATATCCTATTGTTCATTCCAGTTATCCTAGTATCCTAAATGGTATTAGGATAATCCTACGGATACTTAATGACCTATAAGGAATCAGCTGCTGGTTTAGGTTGCTGGTTTAAAATACATGTTTTTAAAACTATGGGCTGTGAAATTAATCTTAGAAAATATAAATGGAATGCGGTATTTCACTGTCAAGTTCTTACAGTATGATGATTTCTTTCTGTCGTGGAGTTACAGACAAAAAAAATCAGGGAGGTGAATTGTGTTTGTGCTTTCCTGTACAGAAGGAATTACCCCAGGAGTAACCCTTCAAGTTAAGCTGCCCAAGTACTGTCTGCTCGTTAGGAGTACGTGCTTCATTCACTGTTCCCATCTTAACTTTGCATGAATATCTGTGTAACTCCTGTTTGGTGGCTGGGTGAAATGGGTCAGGGTATTCTCTGAAGGGGACAGGACCTGGTTTGTGGCGTCATTGTTGGTGGGTTAGAAAGTTCAGAAAAACTCCTCAACCTTAATTCTTCTGAAATCTTAATGTGAGAGAATGAACAAAGAAATTTCAGTCTCTGTAGCTGTAATAAGCAGTCCCTTTGTAAGGGGTCCTTCATAGTGATGGCACTATTTAGGGAACCATACTCTTCCTGGCACAGTTGTGCTCGCATTGATGCTACAGCTAAGAAAAGAATTTAAACATCAATTCCAATTGTTTTTAAGTGAATCATTGACAATTTAATCTGCTACAGGGTGTCCCTGCTAGTATTCCCAGCAAACAATATAGGATATAAAAGGCTATTATACTCCCCTGCATCGTATCACTCCTTTCCAATATTTGTCACGAGTCTCCGTTGTCACAATTCCTGACTTTGTATGTGTTTACATCTGCGTTTGAGAATGTTTTGTGAAGCAGCACAAATACTGTCTTGTAAAGCTTTCTACATATACGTGCTTTTATTCCCCCCAACAGACCGAGCCTGAAATTATAGAAGAAACAAATGTTGACCGTGTCAACGAGCCTCGGAATTACAGCAGGTCCCGTCAGGCCAAGGGCCACTCGGAGACCTCGACTTTAAGTTCTCAGCCCTCCATTGACGAGGTTCGGCAGCAGATGCACATGCTCTTGGAGGAGGCCTTCAGCCTGGCCTCTGCAGGCCACGGGGGCCAGAGCAGGCAGGACTCGTACGGCTCGGCTCCACACCTGCCCTACTCGGAGGTGGTGACCAGCGCGCCGGGCACCATGACCCGGCCTAGAGCGGGGGTACAGTGGGTACCCACGTACAGACCAGAAATGTATCAGTACAGCTTACCGAGACCAGTAAGTGAAGCTTCCTACTGTAATATCGTAAAGGTATTTCTACTCTAAGACCCTTTTTTTTTTTCTAAAGTAGTCCCATTTACGTACTTAAAACCAGATCTACTCGTAACTATGAGTAGTGGGGTGTGTATATATATATATGCTTACCCAGACACATCTCTTGCAGCCACTCAAATAACACCATAAAGCCTCAGTATCTGTTTTAGCAGCAGGGTTGTCTTGGCTAAATTGTACTTGAGAGAACAGGCTTGCACTTAAGCTCCAGGCTGCTCAACAGATCAAAAACTTATCTGCATGTCTCTCACTGAATACGCATTAAGGAAACAATGTGGTTTCGTAGAACAGCTTTGTCAGCAGCTGGGTGTGAAACATCAACAGTTCTGCATCACTGGAGAGGTCCATCATTGCCAGAGAGTGAAGAAAGCGTAATAGAGTGACCTGAAATGTGGGCTGGTACTGTCAGTCTTGCAGTTACAGCTATTGGCTTGGGACTCCAGGGAAGATTTAATTCCATGGGTTTCTTGGTTGACCTTATAAGTCACTCTTTATCCTTAATTTTCTAGCCTCAAATTGCAGCTAACATGTCCTTACCTCACAGAAGTAATAAATGAATTAAGAGCTCGAGTCTGTGGGTGGAAATTGTTAATGGAATTTTATAGGTGTCTAGACAGCAGTCACAGTAGCACTGTGCGTGCTCATGGCTTGTGAAACTACCCCTGAATTCTCACATATGGTATTGTGAAACTCAGTAACATATTTTCTTATATGTCAGATACAAATCTAAACCAGAGATGCGTGCTTTCAGATGAGAAATAGCCCATCTAACAATATTAGTCTGAAAATTGTCCATTTTTAGGTGCTTTTTTTTTCTGTCAGAAATGTTTGTGGTTTTTTTTTTTTTTTTTAGAGATTGCATTTCAAATTGAGTCCCTTACTCTGGCTAGAATAAGAGGATAATGCAGAAAAATCTCTTCAGTTCAAAATAACCATTACCATGGCATCATTCAGTGACAATAAAAAAATACATTAAGGGATGCTGCCTCTGAACTATTCTGAACATACTAGAAAGCCAGTGGCACTGCCTGCAAAGGTTCAGGCTGGTGCTATTTAAATCATGCTAATGGTTATTTCTGGCATTTTGAAATCGGTCCGATGAACTTCATGCAGCATATAATCATATTTTATGGTTAAGAATTCAATTAAAACCTCCAGAGGCAGCTAATGGGGAGTCAAATTACGTGGACACTTCAAAGAATCTTTATGAAACGAAATGAAAAATATTATGTGGTGAGAGGTTATTTAAAAATGTTATAGACATACTTTTTTTGATGATCGATTCACTGTTTTCTTTCTAAGACTTATTACTGCCCTAAATCATTTTCTTGTCTTTCTGGCATTCTCAGGATAGTGCTAAATTCCCTGAAGATAGCTGATCACTACAGATTAGGATAGGTATGAGCTGCTGGGCTTTGGTTGAGGGCTGGTAATTCACAGTTTTCTGCATAACAGTTTCAGGAGCACACAGCCTTTTCGGGTTTGTTCTCAAACAGGGCTGGAGGATTGTGGTTGAAAATATCCAGCCAAGACCTGTGGGTAGGAAAAACAGGGAAGAATTACATCTCAGCACCTTAGTAGCTGATTGCCTGTCTGGGACATCTCTCCTGAGCAGCTCTGAGGGAGATGCCGTGATGGGGCGTGTGTGGGAGTGGGTTGGACAGCATCTAGAGAAGGTGTCCAGGCTCAGTGAGCTGAGGGATGAGAGGTACCTGTGCACTGGGATGTTGTTACCTCCACAAGCCAAGAATTATTTATCTTTTGCCCTTTTTTGAACTTCAGTTCTTAGTGACAGCTAAAAGTCAACATTAACAATGCTGTTATAATTTGAAACATGGATTCAAGAACATTTTGCCTGCTTATACAGAACAAATTCAGACCTTGGCTTTACTGCTGAGTCTTTAGATACAAGGCAAATATAAAAGTCTTCAGTGAGTTACTCCCTTCTGAGATCTGGCTCCTCACAGCCCAGTTACACTAGACTAAAGTCTTTACAAGATCCCACAAACTTCCCAGTCACTTGAATGCACCTTTAGGTTTTATAAAACCTAATGCAAAGGCACATCATAGGTGATAAAAGTGCTGCATAAGGTTTCTAGCACAGACATGCTCTATGTTTATCAAGCAAAACTGGTAAACAGATTGAGGCAAAAGAGTAAAATTCTGCATGCAAATGTCTCATCTCAGTGTTGGCCTCTGTCCCTGAGTTTTTGTGCCATCTGCTTTCAGTGGTCCAGGACCCCTTCCTCAGGTCTGTGTTTCTTAAGGAGTCTTCCAAGTTATGGATCTTTGGTTTCTTGCAGTCAACTTCTTGGCTAGTCCCACCATCAAGAAGTTGTGTATCTCTCCAGAGTGTGCATGCATCTTCTTTTTCATTTTCCTTTTCCCTTTTGAGACCTTCTGTGTGTTTTTTTCTGTTTGTTTGTTTGTTTGGAGTTTTTTTACATGCTATTATTAATACCTAAATTGTCTGTGACTCTTGTGAGGAAGTGCCTGTTTCCCAAACTGCCTGTTGGGTGACCTGTGAGAACAGGATTCCTTCTTATGGGGCTCACGACTTCTCCAGGCAGAGAAAAGCTAGGGAAATGCAAAGCCTTAGGGTTGTTCTGGAGCCTCCAAAAACATGCTGAGTAACACTTGGCTGAGTCCTTGTCATCCAACTGGTGTGCTGTGACTGGAGGATGGAGTTATAGTGCTGACTGTGTGACACAAGCCAGCTCTGTGTCTTGGCAGAATCATATTACTGCTTTGGAAATTTGCTCAGCTGAGTCAAGCCCAGAGCTAAGACCAGGGAAGAAAACCCTCTTTATTACATGGCTGGACCAATTCCCATCTCTCCTCTTCAGCGCTCTGGAAAGAGGAGTGAGAGCAACAGAGCTCTGGGTCTCAAGGTGAGATGTAGCACCATGAACAGACACTGATGACCAAGACTTGCAGGCTGATAATGTATCCACATTCTCAGAGCTTCTCTTCATTTAACAGGGGTAAAGTGAGGTATTTTGCCAAAATTCAGCCACTTTCAGTAACAACTGCTAAGTGTAAAACAAGACAGCTATTAAAACAAAACCAAATCAAGAAGTTTGTATTATTCCCAGATTGCAATTTCATGACCAAATTAGGTAAATCATTCAGTGATAAACAAAGACTGTCCAATTTAATAACCAAATTAGTTAAATCGTTCAATGAGTAAACAAATACACTGCCCTTTTAATTCTCATGGTAAGATGTAAGGAGATGGATATTTCTGTAATTAGAAGGCAACATTGAATAGTTTCACCCAAGTTGGAGGTGGTAAAAGTGTTTAAATATTGCAACCAGGGGAATGTAGCCTTAAAGCCAGCTGCAGAGTTTCTGCTTTAGCCTGTAGTTATTGTGTGCTGGCCTGTGAAGACAGGCTGAGAGAGCTGGGATTGTTCATTTTGAAGAGTAAAATTAGGAAAATCTGTGAAATCAGCTGGGTTGTGGGTTTTTTTGCCCTCTCTGATTGGATTCACAATGGCGTATAAATTTCAGTGAAGTGACTTTAATTCTACAATCCTTCTGGTTAGCCGAGAACCTATGGGCTCATCTAAATCTGTAACAGGACTCTGCAGTAAAACTTTTATTTAATTTTGCTTCTGAACGGTTTTTTTTTCATTTATGTGTTGCATGCAAGAAAACACTAATACCCCAACCCACTGGAGAAATTCTAGAAATTTTATGGCAGTTCCCTCTCATAACCATCTTGGTGTGTGAGGAACCTCAGCACAAGGACTGACTGTTCCTCAGCATGGTGCAGCAGATCTTTTTACAGGATTTTTTTACTTTAATGTGATTCTCTCTGCCCAACCATTAGCAAAATATTGCCACTCGCTCAGGATTGTTCATCTACCGTGTAAGCAGCAAAATAAACGCTTCGATTTTCTATTTTGCTTTTTCCCCCCAAAATCTTCAGTGCAAGTCGCAGCATATTTGTGAGCTGTGATCCCTTAAAATACCTCCTTTGATGTCCATGTTCCAAAGCACATCCACTAACACACAAGAGAGAAAATCCAGATCTACCTCTGAGTCTCTGCCTACCCTGCTAAACAGCGTCTGGAGTCACTTTCCCCCTTAAAATGTTATCTTATGTGCTATTCCTTTAAAATGGAGGGAATAAAAAGGATTTTATACTTGGTGCAAATGCATGCTGAGAGGCAAGATGTGGGATGAAAGGCTTGTGGAGCCAGAAGGAAGTTTCAGCCCAACCTGTGAGAGCACTGCCAGCGTCTGAGATGCAGAAAGAGGCACTGCAGACCATTTCACGTTCAGCACTATTAGGAGAAATATAAGTGAGGTTTTCTTTGATGCAAATAACATTTGTTATTTTTTTTTCTTTACAGTTCTTTCATTAAAAAGCAGTATTTCCAACCCCTGGCTAAGAAATGTGCCAGTGCCTTTTTTGGTTTTCTTTTTCCCTGCCTAAATGTAGAAAGCCTTTAAATACCATGGCAGTGTGGTGAAAGTAAATATTAGGAGACTTTGTAGGTGGCATGAAAGAAAAAAAATATTTTCACAGACATGCCTTTGAGGGTTTCTTCCCTGCTTTAGTAGGGGTGGCAGTGAGAGGAGGGAGAAGGATGCTTGGTCTATATTGCTTTTCCCTTGGAGACACTGACATCAAAAGTCAGTGTTTGGTAAATTACCTTTCCTCTCTGTTAACCCAGCTTGGGCAGGTATTTGAGAATGAAGGCATTGGGATACGGTCTAAATGTGTAACTTTTAAAAGATGATTACTGCAAGATAGTGTTTTCTGATATGCAGGGTGGGATTTATACTGCCAAATTCAAACCTAAATGTAGGTGTTAAGTCTGAACTAATCACATAAATCCTGTCGGCTCTTTGTACAGGCAGGAGATGGAGCGTGACTCATCTCGTGGGGATGTGTTTTTAACTTTGTCTGCTGTTTGTGGAGGGAGTTTCTCTGGCTGAACCAGATACCTCTCGTTTGGAGGGCCAAAGTCCCACCACTAATCTCCATTTTTTTGTCAAAATGCCTATGTCTTGATAGTGGACAACCTTCCCAAAATTTATTATTTGTTATTGCTTTGATTGTATCTTTAATCCTGTGCATTTCTATGAAGCATTGTCAAGAAAAGCATAATTTAAAAAAAACCACAACCAAACAATAAAACAAACAACAACAAAAACTCCAAGACCCCAAAAAAACCCCAAAACCCAATAAAACAAAAGTCTCACCCATGATGTGTTGAAGAAAAGTGTCAATGAAACACTAGTGAGTTATCATTCCTTTATTTAGCAAAATCATGGCCTCTAATCTATAGCAGTACAAAGAATTTAGAAGGGAAATTTTGCCCAACCTGTAATTTCTTGAGTGCCATGGGTTTCATGCACATGATTACTCCTCCCTCACACATATTAGTGATGAAACTCAGAATTATTATGGGTAAGTGGCTTAATTTTGTGACTTAGTGGGTTGGCCCTGTGTTCCTCTGTATCAGTCTGCCTCTTCAGAACTGTTTAAGGCCTTTGTTGTGGTGTTAGAAAGTTACAGAGCTTGGGGGGGTTTTGTGAAGAATTTCCTTTTCATCTCTTGAAGGCTGAAAGGGAAGAGGTTGAAATATGGATTGCTCACAGGAGGCTCTGCCTCACATTATGCTGTTCTGATGATGCTTTCTGAATCTTTAAATTACTTTCTTCCTGGAGGAAGATACCGAGGTCTTTTTCCTGTGGTCCAAAACAGCTGTTGCATCTCACACGATCATAACACATCTGCTTTGCCAGCAGGTTACAAATGTGACAGAGACAGTATTTAATGCATTTTATTTTAATTAGACTTCATCTTGTCTCTGAAGTCATTTGTTCAGGTTTCCTTCCACATTCTAAAATCACCAAAGCACTGTAAATTCTCAAATAAATGCAATTACTGTTGATGCAACAAAAAGTTAGCTTTGTGTTGAAGGGCACATGGAGTAGGTATTTAATTTCTGACTTTCTTTAGGTTTTTAATTTGACTGAGATCTACTGGTGTTTCAGAAAGTACTTGTTTTTTCTCCATTACAGGCTTATAGATTTTCTCAGCTTCCTGAGATGGTAATGGGTTCTCCTCCCCCTCCTGTCCCTCCCAGAACGGGTCCTGTGGCTGTTGCCTCTCTCAGGAGGTATTTATCTTTTATTTTAGGTATGATCTTTAAAAACCACTGTTGTAATGAGAACTGGGGCAAACCCTGAAGGGGCACTTAAAAGGCACTTATAAAAACACATTCATGAAATTAGGAACATGTTGGGTTTATTTCATTTCAACACAGAAAGAAATAACAATGAATTTTCCTCTTCTAATAGCTAGTCTCAGCTCACATAATGGAATATTGGATTGAGGGTGTGTGGTAGTAATTCACACCATCATTCTGCTTTTGTGCATGGTGAGGACTTGCAACAGGATAGGGGTGAATTGGAAAATGCTTCTGAATGACAAAAGTGTCTATTTTTTTCTTTCCTAATGCACAGGTCTACATCAGATATTGGCAGCAAAGTGAGAATACCTGAGTCCAGTGGAGCAGATCAGGCCCAACATCATGATCAGACACCTTTTGCACCTGGTTCGAGAGCTCCAATGTCTGTTGGCCCACTCGATCAATCAGCTTTTCACTCAGGTGAAAAAACAATGCAGACCCAACTTGCAGCTTTGAGAGCCTTATGTATTATTTTGGATACAAAGGAATGCATGGGATATAGCAAATCTGGATGATCATTTGGAGACAGATGTGTTAGGTGGGGTCTCTCCTGATGCAGCTGAAGGAGACCTACAGAGGATTTGCTGCCTCTTTGTAAATGCAGCACAAGCTGCACTGTAAAATACTCATCCTGTAGAAGCAGCAGGAAATGGTCCTTCCTGAAGGTGAGATCCAGCAGTAATGTCCCAGATGTTTTTATTCAAGTGTGGCATTCTGCTGGCTCACTAATCAGGACTCTGAATTACTAAATCCCAGTAACGATGTTCTCCTGTACCACGAAACCAACCCAGAGGCATTTCAGGAGTGGTGTAGAGGGTGTTGATGGCAGAAGCAGAAGTTGCTGTACTGAGACTTCTGTGTGACTTGAATGTTTTGTGTTTCACCATGTACAAGCCAAGTGGGAGAGAGAAGTAATGGGGTTTTGAGGGGCATGGAGAAATGAGTTGGATCCTTCCATTATTTTATATCAATCCAAGTACTTGAAAACAGAGGATGTACAATGGAGCTGTAAGTTGTGCTGCCAAAGAAGGCTGAGTGGCACTCAGCTCTGCTTGTTGAGTCAGAAAAACAAGTGGACATAAAGAATAGCATGTGAGAGACTGAGGTTTTCCAACCTCTCTTGTGGGATGAGTTTTATGACTCCCTGTTTCCTCTGGAGAAACTTAATCCCTAGTCTTGTCACAACAATGGGCTACAACAGTGGGCTACTTGCCCACAACAGTGGGCAAGTTGAATTTATGTGTTCCCTTCCCTCAAAACACAGCGTCAGTGGTACTTTTGCACAGTCAAAGGTAATAATCTGTTAGTTCATCTCCCCTCCTACTTTGGGCAATAAAATTCCTGCCCAAATGCAGAAAATATTCTGGGTCTAAAAGCCCCAGTTTTAAAGGCCTAATTGGTTCTCAGTCCTTTTGATATGAATTTTGTTTATAAGTTAATTGATTGAATAATGAGATTAAGCTGATACACTCTTTTGATAGTATCTGGATAACAGCTGGAAAAATACTTGAAAGAGCTTCTTGAAGAGCTATAGAAAAGAGCTTACAAAATCAAAAAGAATTTTGCATTGTCAGTTCAAAGTTTTGGAATTAGGAGGTTTATTAGACATTGCTCTGTTAATCTGCCAGAAAAATGTCCTTCTTAGCTTCCTCAGAAGTAATAATTACCTGCATTGACTTCAACATCATTTACTGAGAATAATAACGTGGATATGCAAATGTGTTGTCAATTAGTTAAATACAGTAGGTTTGAAGGATCCATTCTACACTCACTTATTGCCATACCTTCTGGAAAATGGTGCATGTGAATCTGAAAAGAGCAGATGCTCACCCTTTCATTTTAAAACATTTCAAGCTAGAAAACATGCCCCGCTACCAAGAGCTCTTCCCTTTATGTGTGCAGTAATATGATCTGTGGGATTTGCTTTTTTGCCATTTCCAGTGATGGGGAGATTTTATTGCTGGATGTTAAAAGCAGGTATGTTGTTCTGCTGCTGAAGAGTGGCTGCATTTCAGAAGAGGCAAAGTGATCTTTGTGTATATTGTGGAGTTTGCCAGAATAATTTTGGGAGTTATTTGGAGGAGACTTTCATATATGACAGGTGCTATATGACATGTATTACAGGTGCTGTAGTACAGGCAGGGAAAGAACAAGGAGAGCTGTGAGAAAGGTGCAACTGTAATATGAGGTTTCTAATGGTCTGATATGAAAATAAGTTTTTATTGTCTCAGTACCTGAAGAAACATTGCTGCAGGTGCTGATTTGGAATAATAATGGCCTAGTGTCACTCTCATGCAGCCCACAGCTCTTGTCTCAGCCCATCCACCTCCTTCCAAACCAAGGGGCTGGAGGAACTGGGATAGAGGCCCTAGGAGACAACCAGGGGCTACCTGCAGTGCAGGCATACAATGCAGATCCCACTGGTCCATAGTAATTCCATGGTGGACTGCTTCACTGAGGGCTGGCTCCAGCATCCTGCCCCACGCAGGAGAAAAGGCACTATATTCCAAAGTCAAAATGAAAGCTTAGTCCCTAACAGTAGGAAACACTGTGTAGATGTAAAGCACAACAGAGAAGTTTTTAGTTCATATTTTGGATGACAATATCTCTTATTGTTTCTTCCAATTTTTTCCTTTTGTTTGTTTGTTTTGTTTTTGTTTGGGGTTTTGTTTGGTTTTGGTTCTTTTTTAGTTTTGGGTTTGGGCTTTTTTTTTTTTGAGACAGTGTTAGAACAGATGGTGTGTTTCTGCTCTGGAGAAAAATGTGCTACAAAATATCTTTTTCTCTTCTTCACGTGCCCTGATTGCATCCAGAGCACTTCTGACCTAGGACCGCACAGGAGGTCATTGACAAACTATAAATCTCTGGGTTTGTGGAGACAAACAAACAAAGCTTTGGGGATGGATGTCACTGGTTGAGCCTCTCTGTCTCTGTGCATGAGCCCATGCAGTGTCTGCAACATCTGTCAGAGCAGACAGCACAACCCTCTTGTAGATTGTTCAGGAGCAAAAATGTGCCAGGGCTGTAAATGACATTCTGGAGGACAGATAAAGATATTTGAAGCAGCCAGTAATTGATGCTAATTCAATTATGCTCTGTATGAATTTTAGGGTTGCCTATATCTTGTGATTTTGTCAGTGTAGTGGTATCATATCTTCAATATTAAGAGCAATTAGTAGCAATGTTCAAATGATGTGCAGTTGGGAAGGGAGAGTATTTTCTCTGCATTGATTCCAGTACAGAGAATCTGTCCATCTGTGCAACATCACTGTGCTTCCATTGCTCGGTGAAAATGTTTGAGTTGTACTTCGTTGTGTTCTTGTGGGGTTTAACTGCCTCTTCTGCTTTCACAGAAAGGATGTTGCATTCTGAATCTGAAAAGTAAAATACTGAATACTCAATATCTCTCTATATAATATAACTGAATACTCAAATCATACTGTGCACGTGCTTTGTTTACTAACTGATAAAGGTGATACACAGCTCTCCCACCCAGAATTTAGGGATGGGGGTTTTATAACCTTAGTGTAGTAGTGGTACACACTTCTGGAGTCTGTCTCCACATGTAAATAAACACTGGAGGAAGGCAGACTTACTGGACAGGCAAGGTGTTTATATTCTGTTCCAAACTTGGCAAATACCTGGGGTTATGATAGCAAAGCTCAAGGGCAATAGTGAGAGTGCATGGCCTGTCTTCCAGACAGCCTAGTTTTGCCTGTGGGTAGTCTCTGTAACTGCAGCAACAACCACATTGTTCTCTCTGCATCTCTCTGAGCCACAGGAGTAAACCCTACCTGAAAGCAGATGTCACCATACCCAGAGATTTGGCTGAATCCTTATGCTAGGATGGCTGGTTTCTTCCACTCAAATTAGAGTGTGAATTTCAGTGGGTGGCTTCCCGGATCTCCCTATGCATGCATCTTGATTAGGACATGATAAACCAGATTTGGTGTCAACAAATTCCTTTGGAAATGCTTATTTAAATCGAAGCTGCGTAGTTTATTGCAGTCATAGAGTGTTCCTGGGAAAGGAATTGAGCAGGCAGAACCTTGGCATATTTAGAGAAGCAATGAAGTTCCGTGATGGAGCTGTTGAGAGTACAGCCTGCTAAACATATCAGTCACTCATTTTTGTAGGTTTTGTGCCTAGAGATTTTAAGAAAGACTGTGTAAATTGTGAAAAGAAAGGTTCATTATACTGAAAACCATGGTAACAACAGCTAAAAACTGAATACAAGGAAGCAAATGTAAGAGGGGGAAAAAAGCTTTTTCTCTGATGATCCAAAGTTTTGATGAAGATCAGTTCATTTCAAGGATCAAGTTGTAAGGACTAAGTCTTCGTGTGTACCCGAGGGCTGTACATGTTTATAAGGACAACTGCAAAGCTTGCCATCTCCAGTATTTTCAATCATAGAGATGATTTCAAACAGCATCCTGGAGATGCTCTTTTCAGAGGGTTGGCAGCCTTACAGACAAGTGATCACGTTATCCCAAAAAACCCTGAAAACCCCAAATAAAAACCAAAAAAACCACCACTGAGTCCAGTTGTTTCCTAGCACTAATCTTCTAATCTATACCTGAAAATCTCAGCTATTAATTATGCCTGCTCTTTTTTTTTTTTTTTTTTTTTTTTAAATTTATTTACCAGGAAATACAGTACCAGCAGTGTTTGCCATACCAGCAGCAAACCGACCTGGCTTCACGGGCTATTTCATCCCCACGCCACCCACCGCCTACAGGAACCAGGCCTGGATGCCCTACGCTGGAGAGAACGAGCTGCCAGGGCAGTGGGCAGACTCAGTAAGCAGCCCTGCTCTTTCTGACTGCTTTGTGTTCTCTGTGATTCACACAGGAGGTGTTTTAAGCAGGGTCTGGCACCTTGTTTAAAGTTGCTGGGCTAGATGTAATTTTTCTTTCCCCAAGACAGAGGTCAAGCATTTGGATAGGCGGGTGGCAGGAGAAAGGTGATGCTGCCTCTCAAGGTGGCCTTGTGCTGTTTGAAATTTGGGGAGCATCTTTGCCTCCTGGAGACTTCTCTCCAGACAGCCAGAACCCTCGCTCTGTGCTGCTGCTGCTGCGGCCCTGCTGTGCAGTGTTTCAAGTCCTCCTGCAGACTGGAGTGACAGATCATAAATTAAATAATTAATTGCGCAATCCTAGACTGGAACAGATGTAATTTTTAGCCCAAAGTAAACCTACATTTCAGAGAACTGAAGCTGGAACATCCTAAAATGAATTGCAGTATTTATCATGTTTGAAACCATTTCTCAAGTGTAGGGCTTTTTCTCCACTAGGGGAAAAAAAAAGATCAATTCTGCTGTTTGAGCTCACATCTGGTATTTATGCAGAACCACTTTGGCTAAAAAAACTGGGAAATACATTCTATTCCCTTGTGCAGATGATTAACAGAATATTTTGTGAATTGCACTTGAAGGCTAAGTTGGCTTTGAGCAACTAAGCAAGAGACAACACGGTCATATAAATGTTCCTGGGGGCAGCTGTTTGTTGTCAAGCTTTTATTACTGCTCCTGGTGCCTGTGAGGAAAAGAATTCAGTATGACTTTGAGATGCAAACCTGAATTTGTAGGCAGAACTGTCAAGAAAAGAAAGAGATGCTCCTCTCTAAGCTGAACACACCTGTTGGAGTGCCCCTGACATCTGGAGGATTGTGATGCTGTTGTTTAGATTTCCTTCTCAGAGCTGCCTTTTAAAGCATTATTATTTTTGTTGTTTTGGTGTTTGTTTGTTTGTTTTGTGATTGGTTTTTTTTGTGTGTATGTGTGTGCTTTTAATCTTACTGACATTTTAAATCCAGGAGGCTTGCTGTATTTTAGCCATTTTAAATTTTTTCTTTCAGAAGATAAAAAGCCACAAAACAGATAAGGAAAAGTATCTTACTGTCTTCCATTCTTTTCCCCTTTTGTATCCCTACTCTTGGCTGCAGTCCTATGAAAAAAGAGTCAGATGTCACTTGCTAAAAGTGGAGATTGAAAACAAACTGGACAAAAGTGGAAAACAAGTCTCCAGCCCCAAGCTCCTTCCTCTGGAAGGAGGAGAGTGTCACCTTGTTGTGAGTTTCCTTGTCTTTAGGGAAAGAGGAGGGAAGAGCAGTGAGTGCCAGTGAACTGTACACAGAGGAATGGAGAGGGATGCGAGAATCTGTCTGAAAAACAGCTGTGACAATGTAGAATTCAAAGGAAACAACTTCACTTACCCACTGCAGAGCTTCAACAACTTCTTGTTTCTCAGGCTTTCATCCCTCTAGTGGTGTTGTAGAAGAGGTAAAAATGTAAAGCCAAACACTGCAGTTGCTACAATGAATTTGCATCTTCCTGTGAATGCAAATCTGTCAAGAAATTGCCTTCATTTGAAAATGATTACTAGAGGAACTAGTGATAGTGTTAATGACATAGCATGGTCAGAAAGCCTGAATAAAACTGAAAACTATAAACATCTAAAGTAATACTCAGGGTTTGAGTTTCTGGATGTGTTCTGGTTTCTGAGCCTCTACAGTGTAGCTTGATCATACTTCCAAGATTTTCTTACAGCGAGTAAGAGCAGAGGCCTAATATCTGTAAGTTGAAAATTAAAATTCTTTACTTTTCATGCATTTCAACTAACCTGGACTGTAAAAAGGGGAACAGAGGAAACTAAATTTACTATAATATGTTATTTTCTGAGTTAAATAGTAAGCACTGAAGCACTAAGCTTTTTTTTTGGGAGAAGGCAGATGTATCCAACCAAGAACTTACCTTCCAGATTGCTGGATAGTGCTTAGTGAAATCAGTAACCTGGTGGCCTCTAGTGGTGTGTTCACTGAATAATCTATTGTAAACTAAACAGAGGTGCCTGCATCTAATGATCACTTTCATATCATGCCTGCTTCCTATGTTTGACTCATCATTCCATACTGAACATGTTTGACACTCTCTTTGTCACTTGGTGGATATCCAAGATTGCAGAGAACATCTGTAAATCCTGTAGATTTAAACATAAAGCCTGCTTTAAAATTAAGGGCTGTTTTATACTCTTTGGGGAAATAGAAATACTATTTTTATTTAGTGCATTAAAATCTTCTGAGTACTGTAAAGATTGGTATCGTATGGTTTTGTGGAGGAAATTTAATCTCACACAGTGACTAAAGGGCCTACATTATTATTATTTTAGTTTTAGCTGGTGTAACATGGGGCTGAAACCAGTGAAATTACAACAGAGTAAAACTGTGAATCCCCCACGTAATTCTCTTAAATGTAGCCAGAAATCTTGATACTTCTGAGAATCAAACATTCTTTTCAGTCTTGAGTTTCCAAGTTGGCATACCTGAGCTTATCTCCGTTGTCTGGATCTGTTGTGTTTCTGCTAGGAAAAGTGAGACCAGAGACTTGGCTGACTTGGGTTGGGCAGTGGCTGCAAATCAGAAAACTCTGCTTTTCTGCTCCAGGCTTTTTGGTGTCCTGAAATGTAGTCGTGCTGCCTGCGTAAAACTGAAACGTTTAGGAGGAATGGCAAGCAGAGAACGCGCTTTCAGGCAAAAAACTTTTTCCCTTTGACTTTTTGAGGGGATGATAAATGGGGACATGCAGTGTTTTCCCTTTGTGGTGGTGTTTTTGCTGCCCCAGCTGGGAGCTGAGTACCTGCTGCACGGACACGTGCGCAAATGGCACGTGCCAAACGCAGCATTTGTAAACAGAAGCGGAGGATTATGAGGTTTGCACTCCCTTCACACGGTCCTATCTGTTACGCCCCACTCTAGCCCGGGGAGGTTTGTGCTGCCTGGCAGGTGGCACCACGGATCAGTTTCTCTCCGTAACTGTGTGTAATTACAATTCTCCACAGGTTCCACTTCCTGGGTACATCGAGGCTTACCCGAGGCCCCGCTACCAACACAACTCGCCGTCACGCCTGCCCCGGCAGTACAGCCAGCAGGGGGGCATGCACCCCAGCCTGGAACAGGCCCCTCTGCCATCCACAGCAGCTTCCCAGCAGAGCCTGACGGAAAACGACCCCTCTGACGCGCCTCTCACCAACATTTCCACGGCTGCCCTCGTGAAGGCAATAAGAGAAGAAGTGGCCAAGCTGGCCAAGAAGCAAACAGATATGTTTGAGTTCCAAGTCTAACGTCTTTTTGTGCACAGTATTTGTATCTTGGGACTCTGAAGACATGTAATCCTGCTTGCCAGCTAAGGGAAATGCTGCCAGGAAACTGTTTCATGTGGATAAGATTGACCATATGCAATTGTTTGTCACTTAGCTCTCGTATTATGACCCATCATCACTGGAGATGCTGCTGAACATGTCTGCTCCACACGAGGTTTCATTTGCAGGCCCAAAGGTAGAGCTGCTGAAAATAATTTCTGCATGCCAAAGCTTTGATTCAAGAAGGAAACGCCACAGAACGCGGTCGGCTAAAGGCGTGGTGGTGGCGGGCACGGTAATTGTTTGCTGCAGGACGTTGTATGAGGGATGCTGATTTCAGCAGTGGGGAGTCATTCAGCCTTTTCATTCCAGAGACTGCATTCAAAGCAGAAGAATTCAAGATGAGTAAGTAATCCAAATAAATGTCCTGTAAATAGCTCCGATTCTCTTCATCCTATTAACAGTGCTAAGAAGTGGAAGAAGAGAGGGCCGTGGAGAAGGTGAATGGTATTTTGATAATTGGTGGCTACCTTGTTCCACCAGTGCCACTGATTAGTTATGGAGGAGACTTTTTTTCAGTGTGAGAAAGTACAGCGCACGAAGAGCCAACAAAGGATATTGGTGCTAAAAGCTTCCAAGAGAAATGAAAAAGTGTATTCGCGTTTGCTCTATAATCAGACTTTCCACTCTGAATGCATGTGAAGCTGGTAAACCTGAGACCTTTGACTTTTTCCAACCTGGAAAAATGAATACACCTGCTTGGACAAGAAAACCTCTGTTCAACACAGTGCTTTTTTTCTTTTTTTTTTTCCTCTTTCTTAAACAATGCTATCTACTAAAGTGATGCCAGAAAGTGCTACCTGAAGCTGCAGTTGATTTTGATGACGCTGGAACGGTGAACGCGCACCTAGGAAGCTCTGAATGTAGAGGACCTAATTATTATATTAACATGTAAATAATTTAACAGTTACGTGGATTAACAAAAATACTAATGTTCTGTGACAAAGAGAGCATTGCCAGAAATTATGCTGACTTTACATTGTGCAAGATAGAGGTTACTGATGGTTAAACTGCATTGTGGTATGAATCCAATCCCAAAAGAATATCAAACCAGTTGAATGGGACAGTAGTTAATATTTTGCAGTTGTACAAACTAGTTGGAGATCATGAACAATTGTTTTCAGTTCCTTCAGCTATTCAGCTTTGGGAACCGAACTTGTTGCAAAGTTTGTTGTCTTGGGCGTGTTTGATGTCAACTGGAATTAAAGGTAATGTCCTTCATTTCAGTAAGTTATTTAGTTATTCTCAATTACTATTTTGTCTGATCATTTCATTTCCCTGAGTTTCTTTGGTCTTTACTGATGTGAGAAAGGGAACTTGGTTTAACTTTTTGGCCACCATTAATTGAAAGAAGGAGAGAGAATACAATAGGGGATAGAAGCAGAAATTGATGAAGCACAAACTTTTAAAACAGAGCTATTTTTTCCCCTATTAATGTTATTATATACCCCAACTGAGACTGTGATACGTAGTTATCCTAGAATATCCTAGATGTCTTCTGCTCCAATACCTTAAATATTGCAGAAGCCTTTGGAATGCTAGTTAATCTTTCAATAAACGTGAAATTTCATTTTTATTATTTAAAATCAGATATAAATAAAATGTATTTTTGTAATTTGTATGTATATATGTGCTGTATATTTATATAAGTGACTAGTCTGCTATAGTCAGAAAATTTCCATAAACTGAGTGAGGAAAAAAAAAAAAAGAAAGGAAAAAACCCTGGTAATTTTAATGAGTGATACAAACATGCTATGTCTGGAGTACAAAAATATACATTTGGGTGACTTGGATACCAAACAACCAAAGAAACTCAATCTTTCACGTAAATGCAAGTCTAGTAAAAGACCAGCTGCTGTCTCAGTTACCTGTCAGCTAAATAATACTGATTTCATCAGTGTAATAGAATACAGCCAATTTGTGTTGAATTAACAACTGCCTGAGAACCTCACACTTTTGAATGGCAACTCAAAAATACTGGGCCAAACTCAGTGTGCCATAGAAGGGCTCGTTCTGGTTGTCTTCAGTGGGAGCCTCATGTACTGAGAGCAAGGCTGAGTTTCTCTGTCAGGCTTTGTGTATACGTAGGAATTTCACCAGAACCCCTTGGACAGTGTTCTGCTGATTTTTCTGTCATTTGGATCGCTGTAATGCAAGTGCAGACATAATGGAAGAGCAGCTCACTTTTATTTAGCCTAAGCTGGTTCATAACTGGCTTAACCCAACTTGGGAAGCGAAATCCACGTTAGGGCACATCAGCCTCATTTTGCATCAGCTTTATTATCTCAGTTTTTCAATGATTCTTCTGTTTAGCCCAGTGAAATTTTGCAAGCAATTAGGCCCTTCCATGCAGTGGGAGTGAAATGAGCCATGAAATAAATTTCTGTATCTTAGGCTCCTGTTTTGCAGCATAATCCTAAAGCTGCGAGTCTGAAAGCAGCAGCGACCACGTGGATGGATGTGAAGCCACAGAGCTGGGAAGGGTAATGTTATGATGTATTCCCCCAAAATAATCACGGGAGGTTGGACATACCAATTTTAAGCACCATCTTTGGGACAGTTAGCTCTGTGTGTAAATCTGTTCCCTCTCTTAAGTTTTAGTAAGTTAATAGTTCTGTTGAAAAATGTGGGAGGGTAAAGCCTCATATATCTTACATGAATGAATCATATATCTTGCCATACTGGAAATTAAAAATTCTGGCAATCACAGAGATGTAAATGGTTTGAGTGCCTGTAGAAAACAGAAAAACCCCAAACAAAACCATTTAAATAGCCTTCTAGAAAGAAAAACCATTTCAGTAAAGTTAAACAAAGTACTCTTCTACTAAGGAAGACCTGTTAGACTTTTAAAAATAATTTTGTTTGGTATTGTTATCAACAATGTGCAGTCTGTTGAACATTTCCTGAACCATCACTCTGAAACCATTGTGGTGCACTTTATTCACAAAACCATCTTACCTTCTTCATTCATAATGCCTTTTTATCCTGTTTGTAATATGTTTCTGTATTTTTTTTTTTTTAAGTACAAAGTAAGATTATATCAAGACAGTAAGGACATTCCTGGGAAAGAAAAATCATGCTGTAATATTTATACTGTCTGAGCACAAAGCAATGATAAAGTGAAAATATAGTGTACAAATAATTTGTAATATAATAAACATTTTGTATGGCTACAATTACAATATAGTTTTTCAATACTGATTTCAAAGAAGAAATTATTTGTGTTTAAAGTTATATCCTCATTCAAATATATCCATGCCATTTTTACTGAAAAAAAGTAGTAATTTAGGTTTTTCTACTTAATACCCCAATTTTATTTTAAAATATGTCAAATGTTTAGGCGAAAATACTGTTCTGTGTGTGCAAAAAGTTTTGGTGTTCTGACCACTCTTTGTGTTCAGATTTGTAAATCATCAGTAGAAACGGCTGCAAATGAAATGCACGTATAATTACTTCTTGGTATCTGTGTACTGCCCACTTTCAGTTGGTAAATGATGTGTGATATTTCCTAACATAAATAGAACAGTAACTTTGAGAGGATAAGAGGGAACTCATTGACAGTAATTTTTTGAGAAAACCATATTGTCTGGATTTGTGAGAACCTCTAGCACTCAGTCTAGAAATATGAGTACTATTTGTATCCAATAATATTATGGGTAAAACTTGATAGAAGTGCATGAAAATCCTAGATATATAGAGATGGGGACATTATCTGACATAGTGGTCATTTCTACTTCAGACTGACTTTGAAAATGTGAGATGCAAGAAATGTAAGATAAAAATGAGAAGCAAAGTAGCAAAAGCAACGTGGGATTGAGTGGCAGAACTGTTTTGTTTAAGGGCTGATATATATTACAAAGCTGACCACAGTTTTCATTGTATTTCAAGATGTCTGACTGTTAAAGAATTACTTACATTTTAATGTATGTTTTTTAGTCCTGCATTGCCAGTGTAAGAGCTAACTGCCAGCTTCTAAAAGCTGAGGGAGCTTGAAAGCAGCAAGTTTTCCGAGCTAGTAGAAGTCGCATCATTTTGCTCACCCTGTTCATCCTGTGCATTCTGGGCAGCTCCAAACACTGTGTCCAGTAACTTATGGTCCTGGCCTTGCATTTCTTGTACATAAACAAATCTCAGTGTCTTCCCATACCTTGCTGACTGAAATGGGATAGGAAAACAAATGTGAGATAGTATGAAGGCTGTTAACAGGTCAGGAGTAACTTCAGGGTCTGGGAGCCGTGGACCTTCTGCTGTGTGTAACTCATACCTATAGAAGATGGTTGTGTTTGGGCAGCTGTTCCCAGCAAGGTGCATTCCATATTGCCAGTGACTGTCAGACATAAATTACCACTCAGTCCTGTCCCAAGAGAGTGTATGGATTCCTGCTTCCACTCCTTTGTGTAAGCCACGTGCATTCTCTGTGCAGAGAGTGCCATAATTAACACGAGTGGTTTCCAGTTACTCAAAGCAATCTCTGGTAATAAAATACCAAGTTGCATGGAATCCTTACTTTACTGCAACATTAGGAGGTGGAGGGAGGAAGAAAGATGTGGTCATGCAGTATGCAGACTTTTTTAACAGTGCTAAATGAAATCACTATCTCAAGTGGTAACTTACAGGTTTTGTGTTAGACTATCTTTTCATTGGTTAATTTTTTTGGCCATAACTCTAGGACTAAGTAACGATATTTTTTTTTTTAATGCTTATCAAAATACCTCAAAATTAGATTTTTCCATTTTAAGGATAAGGTTACTCTTTCAGAACGCTTTTTTCGAACTTTTGCCTTTCTCTCGTGGATAAATAATGCAAGACTCAACTTGTGGAAATGAGATTTATATAGGTCAGTGAATAAATTGCATTCTGACTTGCTCTTTAAAAGAGACTTTCAAGATGGCTAAGTCATAAAGGCAAGGCTGGTTAATACTGAAGAATCTCTACTGAGAAAAACTGCATTGCACATCCTTGATCAAAATTGTTTTGCCCCACAGGTGAAAAGCAATCAGAAAACTGAGCATCTGGTGATTCCTGTTACTTAGGAAACTTTTTGCTTGGGCTTTGTATAAGACATGGGAGATGAGACAGAGATTTTGATGGGGTTGTGAGATGGATAGACTACCCTGTGTGACACATTTGCCCTTTGAGTTACCCTTAATACCCACAGACGTAAAAACTACAGCCTCCAAAGTGGTGTGGCAGAAAGGTGGTTTAGGTCCTGATTTTTAAAATACTGAAATTCCCCAAAATCATATAATATTTCATGCTTTTAAAATCACCTTAAAACCATATTCTTATGAGTATTGTATCACACTTGCATATAACTGTATGTGTGTGTATCCAAAAATACTTTTTCAAAACTAGTTCTATTTGTCCATCTCTTTGTCCCTATTAATTTCAGGTTCCTTAAGGTATATGGAGGCAGTGATGCAGAGTTTGATCTCAGAGTTGTTCTGTTAGATGAGAAATGGGCTTTAAATAGGTGGTCAAATGTATAGCAGATGTCTTGAAAATAATTACAAATATCACGAAGAGGTGTTCCAGAAATTTGATTTTTTTTTCATTTATTAAAAATAATTCTTGTTTTAAGAAGTGCCTGACTTTTCATGAATTTTTCATGTTCAATTAATTCCCAAGGAGTAGCTTGAAACTATATTGCATTCTGTAAATAATTTTGTAACTTTATAAACACGCATTTACCTGTGAGGCAATAATGGCTGCAAAGGATTGTAAATCATACGGGAAGTTGATTCCACTGAGTACAATATTTGGAAAGGAGGTGAATTTCTCTTCCAAAGTATGCCCCTTTTCACTGCAGCTCAGTGCATTTCTGTGCTTTGTAAACCAGTGTCTAAACACCAAAACAAACACTGGCATCAGTTAAAATCCCTTTTATCTGGCAAGGAGCACTGACTTTTGCAGCCTCCAGTGGGACCTTGTAAAGAGTGCCTGTGTAGAACTTTAATTTTTTTAAGACTATTAAACCAGAAACTTTTGGGTCCTTAAGTCTGGCTTTTTGCGTGGAATCAGTGGCTTTTAGGTCCTGTGTCACCAGCAAACTTAACTAAGAGATTCCTTGAGATGTGATGCAGCAGAACACAGCACCCTGTGCCAGGGATCCACCAGGATCTAAAAAGCAAGTTACTGTGGCAGAAGGATAGGTGGTAAACCTTGCATTTCAGCAGTGGATGGACACTTAAGTAGTTATGAGTTGATTATTATGGCAGGCAAAAAAAGCCTTGAAGTTAACTGCTTTGAATCAGTTTATGTATTTGGTTAGCTTTTGATTTCTTCACTTGTTAGCTTGCTACAAAATTAACAATATTAACAGTGTATTCTATTTCAGACTTATAAACGTGGGAGATCTGAATGTAAGTAAACTTGAAGTTTATTCTCTGTCTGTATCTACTACTTTTCACACTGCAATTAGGAAAAAAGAAAACCAAACACTTTACCCACCAAAAAATTAATTTTAGTATTTCTTTCTGTGGCAGACAGATTGGGAATGCTTTTTCACTTCATGTTGGTGTTGAGTTCTTCAAATTGTATTCAGTGTCATATTTGATAGAAAAAAAATGACAATGAAGACAAAAATTTTGGAAAATAGGGCAGAACCCATCTTACTGAAGCTTAAATTTTGGGTTAGGATTTAGCAACCCATCAGAAACAGCTCAGAAACAAGAGAGTCTCTTTTGGGCAGTTCTCTGGATCTCGTGAGAAAGCACAGATATTTCTATGCTCCTTGACTTTTTATTTTCACTTCATGTCTTTTCTTGCCATTGCTGTGCATTCTGAATTTGACTTTTGGTGTACACAAAGAGGTGCACTCTTTACCTCACTGATATGCTGCTGGTGTGATGGAAGTAGTAACCAACACACGTGATAGAATTCTCAGATAGCTGTGGCATTGCTTGGCTTTGGCCCGTGTTCTGCTTTTTGGTAATTACAGAAATCATATTAGTGTTAAGGCAAAACGTGAGTACAGGTAACAGCTTCCACTGAAGTTATTGGCAAAACACCTGCTGACTTCAAGGAGAACAGGACTGATCCAGTAATCCCTCGGTAAATTAGCCGTCTCAAGTATCTTAAGGTTGTGCAAAGAGAGGAAGGATGGTTTCTGGTGATGGGTAGCTGGAAATGGGGAGATGGCAGGTCAGCTGATTTTTCTTCGGGATTTTGGAGTGCTGCTGGGCAAGGTGCTTAATCTGACTGTGCCTCAGTGTCCCATCTGTAAAGCAGGATGAAGGGACTGCCCCTCCTCATAGCCCTGCTGGAGTGCAAGTGGATACTTTAGTATGAAGCACTATTTATTATTTCATGGAGCTCTGGTAATTGTTCAAGGCTGTACATTACCTGTTCCTCTGGTAGCATTTAAATAAATGTGAATTTACAAGAAAAAAACTCACCTCCTGATAATATTTCAGTATGTTCTAGGAAGCCTTTCCAGTAACAGCCTCTGCACTTTTTTACAGAGATTTACAGAATTTATATCAAGAAATTGCCTCACTTCCCATGCAACAGATCTCATTTTCCAAGGAAATGAACTTTTCTTACATCTTTGAATTATGGAAAGGACTAACTTTGCATGATTACAAATATCCATGTTATCTTTGGTGTTCACAGCTTGATTCAACTAAACTGTAATGGCTGTGTCTGTGAAATTTGCTCAAAATTTATGAGTGTTTCAGCTGTAAATGGGAAAATTAGTTTTCTGAAGCTGCAAACTTGAGGGTGAATTGAAAGCCGAGTCTGGGAGGGATTAAAATGAAAGAGGAAGAAAATAAGTAATTAAAATTTTATACTATGCAATCAGAAGGGAGATCTCCAAGAACTGGTTCCTTTTGCAGTTACAAATGTAGAACCATCCTGATGGTAGAATTTTATATACATATATGACTGAAAAGGAGGCATTTAAAATGTTCTGGGTCATTACCAAATGACTGTGTTTTTACTCTGAGCCATAGGGTGATTCTAGAAGTCAAGCCTACGAGTACTTAGAATAGTTTCTTTCATGTTAGTGGCTATAGCTTAGTTTCCAGTTGTACGTGTGTTTTTCCTGGCAATTTTGCACATTAAATAAAATAATGTCTCAAAATCTGTGTCGCTACTTATTGGTTGTTCCTGCTGCGTCCTTTTCTTTAGATCAGCACCTTTTAAAGCATGAGCCTTCTTTTTACTTGGAGCTTCCAGGCTCCTGGGCTGCTTAGGGGGTCCCGTTGCTCGTGGTCTCGAGGCAGGAACCTGGCAAAGGACAGGAAAGGAGTTTTAAAGAGCTACACAAGTCTAAACCATGTATTCCAGTGGTGGCATTCCCTCTGAAGAAAGGTGTTTTCCTACCTTACACAGAGGTGAGCAGTGCAGTAACCACAGCAAGGCCGTGAATTTTGAGGACACCTTGTGATTCTGTGTTTTCCTTTGTGAATTTTCATTCTCACCTTAATGGTCTCTAGGCCTTTCCCCTATTATTCAGTCAGTTACTGTGGTTTTTAACAGTATTTATTCAGGCCTAAGTTTCATGCTGTCACTCTGAAGTAAAAGGGAAAGGAAAATGAAGCTATGTGCTTTTGACAATACTGCTTTTGTGCAATTTGTGATGCAAGAAATTTGGACAAAAAAGTTTGTTTTAGTACAAAGCCTCTCTTTGTAGTTTCAGACTTAAAAAGAGGCAAGGAAGGATCTCCCAAAATACAGGATAAATGAACTTCCTAGTGTATGTATCAGTACTAAGGTTCTGGACAGATGGTATACTTAAAATACAGTTTATGTTTATATTTTTATATACATATATATATATGCTGTGACTGTGCTTAAATTGCCTACAGAGGCTGTTCTGACTTTTCTCAAGATACACCCAGATCTCAGCCTATTTCAAAAATGTATGTTTTTAGTGTGTAACATTAAAAAAGAGACTTGTGTTATTAATAATTGTGGTTTTCTTAGAAAAGCCAAATGCACCCCTGATGGACTGCTTCCTGATTGGCAACTTTTTGATCCAGAACCTAGATGTCAGGGACCTTAAGAAACATCACCTCCCAAACAAACAAGAGAGGACAAGTTTCCTAGAGTTAAGTGCTGCTCTTGATTTCCCTACTTTATGTCAAGATCTTTGCTCTGAATTTTCAGGACAGGTGAATCTTAAAATGCAGCATCCACTGCTGAAAACAGAAAAATCATTTTATGATAGCTTGCTGCTTTTGGATTTCCTTTGTAATCTGTCCCTGAGCTAATTAATGCGGCTTTGAAGATGAATTTAAATTCTAATGAGCCATTGTAATAAGGCTGAGTATCTATTTGGAGAATTTTAATGTTGCACACTCTTCAGTATAACAGTCTGAAATTTTATGGACCCAACTGTTCGGTATAAAATACTTTAAAGTTTAAAGGCATTCTTGGTTTCAAATGGCTTTGTACCTAATTTCTCCCACCATAAAGCAGCCAAGGTTGTTCCAGGTTTTAGAAATGAAAGACCTGAGGGCATTCCTTGGGGAGCACCTGGATATCACTGCAGATGTAGACACGGCTCTTTCAGCAAGACAGCTGTCATTGCTCAGCCCTTGGGTTGGCTGTGAAGATGTGACAATCTGCTTTAGGAGAAGTTTTCTTTGTTTAGAGTTTGAAATGGGAGCAACCTGCTGATGGTGTTTTGATATCTCTGCCCATGAATCAGATTTGTAGCCTAATGTTTCTTTCTTGAATGCAACAGGGATAGATTTGTTGAGTCACGAGGCCGCTACATGAAAGAGGTCTGGGCTATGGCAGCATCTAAATGTCAGGATTAGGCTTGCCTGGGCAGTCTGAGAGAACAGAAACAATTAAAAACAACGGTCACAAATGTTGTGAATGAAAGAAAATGCGGTAAGAATGCTATTCTGTTTAATATATGCTTAATTTTTACAAAAGAAATTATAAACACATTAGCTTTGAGATGAAGCCATAAGCCTGCAGAGACGAGAGCAAATTACTGGATATAACAAGGTCAAGTGAAAACAGAGAAGAAAAATAAAGGTAAATAAAATGTTTAGGGACAAATGAAAACAAGAATATGAGCCATTATGTATTAATAACCTGGTTGTTTGTTTAGGTATGGACAAGCTTATTACTACCCTTCTGAATTCATGCACGTGAGTGTGTTACTAGTTCCAACTGAGAGTACAAGCAGTGGTTCCTTTCAGGCAGAAACACTACATCATATGTCCCATGTTTCTCCTACAGTCTCTTAAGTTCCCTTTGTAGGTGCTACTTCACACACAGAAGGGTGTTACTTCATCACACATCCAGTGATCCTCTCCACTGGTCTTTAATGATCATCCTGGACTGTGGTGATGCTTCTGTGTGCAATGTGGAGGATACTTTGGCCAAAGTATCCTGATAGAAGAGTGCTGTGATGCCTTGTTCTGGCACATGACCCAAAGGACTTTTTCCAGTAGGTGTCTGTCCTCAGGAAACTTTAATTTAAACATATTAACTGACATTATTCCTTGCACTATTGCCCAGTAATTAAACATGAAGCGTTGTTTTAACAAAAAGGCCGTGTGAGAAACTGAACAACAGACGGAAAAAGATTTAAACTGTGTGTTGGGAAAAGCAGCTCTGTTTAAGCCAAGAAAACCCGAGAGAATAATGGCTGATGAGGGCTGGATGCAAAGTGAAAGACTTGGTAAAAGCTGAGATGTAATAGTTAGAAAGCAGTGATTGCATGTAATGGAAACCCTTGTAAGCCCTTGCAATAACCTTGGAAAACATAGAGTGGTTAAGGAATGAAACTATTCTGCAGATTGGGAAAAATGAAGATAGTTTCTCTGCTACCTAATTTGATTTTAAAGCTCTTACTTCTGCACGAAGCCTTTGAAGGCCTCTGTGTCTTGGCCTTTCTTGTTTAATCCAAGTTTGTTTTCTGATATTCAGTTTAGGCACTGAAACAATTCTCATTTTCATAGTAATCAACTATTTGAGTTTAACCATTCGCATTTTCACAATAATTAACCATTTCAGCTTTGGCCTCAAAACTCTTTGAGACAATTTTTATCCTGGTTCTGCAGAGGGAGCAGTGAAACACTTCAGTCCAGATTTCCAAGGTGTTCCAGTGATAATTTGGTTCTTTAGGCACAATGATTTACCTTTTGTTTATTTACTGTCTCAGCCTCTAAGACGTGCCTGGAAAGAGACATAAATCGTGGATGGTTCTGTGAGCATTTCCTGACCAGGTGTAGAAATAACTTGTTTAAGAAGCCCACTTTGGATGTGACTTATGGTGCTGTCTGGAGTGAAACAGCTTAAAATAGGCAAACTAGTGAAAACAGAACTGTTTAGCCAGGAGCATGGTGTTATTAATTAGACTCCAAAGAGCTAAGTAGCAATTAAATGGTGCCAAGGTGGGCCTTTAGCTGGCTTCAGCCAGCTGAAGAGGAAGGGCGTTTGAATTGAAGTGGATGATGGAGTGTAAAAGAAAAAGCAGCTCACAGTGGCCACTACTGACCTGACCCTGTGCACAGGCAGCTGCCAGGGCCTGGGGCTCACCCTGAGGCTGCAGGAACCCCAAGTGAGACCTTCCCTGGGCCTGTGTTAAAAGAAGCCTTGTCCCCACTCCTGCCCCTGAGCTTCTTCCACCATCCTGATTCCCTCTCCATGCCAGCCTGAGGGACACCAGACCACTGGACAGAGCCCAGTCTCACACCCTGCTCAGGCTTTGGGTCATTAAAAAGCCCACTGATCAGCAGATGAAGCCGTGGATTGCCGTGTCAGCAGGGACACCACCCGGCAACAGCCAGTGCAGAGGTAAGATTCTGTTTAAGATCTAGTGCTCTGATAAAATGTGATTGTTATAGGTATGATGATTGAAAAATAGGAGTTATAAATTAAACTTTTTTTTTATAATAAACTCTGTGTATGGTAGATGAGAATCTGGTTGGAAAGACTGAGATAGTCAAAGAGTGAATCCTGTAATAAGCAGTGATAGGAAATAAAATTTTGATTCCATATTGTGTTAAAATGCTTCACAGTCAAGCAACTTCAACACAGTTTAAAAAAACCACAGATTAAAATATTAGACTTAAAAATAAAGCTGTTTGCCAAAACATGACAGCTTCAGGGTCAGTAACTTTATTATTTCATGCTGCCACCTACTGCTCTGGAATTAGAATAGGAAAAAGTAGTTGGTATCTTTTTATCAGTCTGATGAGCCTGTTTACTACTTTGTGAGGTTATTCTCCATGCCATGTATGGCACTACTTTTGAATGGTAAATGTTCCCTAGATCTTTAATTTTTCCTTTTGAAAGGATGTGCCTTCCAAACCTAAGGATCTTGTCTCCTTCAAAAACTACTGCTTTAGCCTAAGCACAGTTATTCCTGAAACAAGAGTAAAATGTTAATTGAAAATCAAGGTTATATGACTATTATGTTAAAAACTGATTCAAGCCATAACTTCTGTAATTTTATGGTACACTGAAGACTATGATTGTAACAAAGATTTTTATGCTAACGTGAAAGTAGAGTTTTAGAGCTGGCTTAGAGGTGTAGACTTTTGACCACACCTATTTACTCAAAATTTCACTTAATGTACTTAGAACTAAAAGAGAAAAAAATAAACAAACAAACCATAGTTTGTATTGCAATTACTGTGTTTCCTGGCCTCACATATCTTGAACACCATCAATGGACTGCTGGGAATCCTGTCAATAGCAGTGTTAATTTCACAGTGTTTTTGAAGACAATATTATACATCCTGTCTGGATATAGTAACTGGAGATAAAAAAAAGGAAAAATATTCAGTACTGTTATCAGTAACTAGTACTAGACAATTAATAAACGCAAAAATGCAACAATATACTATATTTTTTAATTTGGCAGGAGAATAGCGTCCAATAAGTAGAAACCCAATATTGAAGGTCCATTAAAATACTCCACAGAGATGTGGTGGCAGAATATTCAGCTGCAATAATCCTCATCATGTTGGTGGCTGTTATTTCAGGTTCTGCAATGCTTTCATGCTTTGTATCTTCTTTTCTTCCAGTGCCTTCAGAAGTTTATCTAAACAGGAAGAAAACATAATTTGTCATTAATTTTGTCATTAATACTTCTAAGAAAATCAAATAACGTATTAAGCAAACTAATAATATTCCTTACAACAACTTGTCTAGCAAATATCTGAAATCTAAAGTTTCTCAAGAGATATTAAAATGGAAAAAGGTATGTATTGCTATAACAAGTGAAAATTATTTTCCTGTTCTGAAAAGTAAATATATGCAAGCTACCTATCAGAACTTCTTTGAGATCTTCCCGTGAATGAGTATATCTGATGCACGTTTTTTCTGTCGCCTTGTAACCTTTACACTGCTGCAGGTTTCCTGACTGGCAGCCCCCCGGCCTTGAAGGAAATGGCGAGCATCACATCCTTACAGCTGTTGGCCTCCCTCCTGGAACCCTTAAGTATCGTGACCTGACGAACTTATTTTATATTTCTCGCATTTCCTTCACGGCCAGCGGGTTATAAAATTAAAACGCCAAAGCTTAGCTTGTTTTGGGTTCCCCCTCGGCCTCCAGCTATGCGTGGCCGTCAGTGGCCTTTATTTCACATCCGTGCTGATTTACAACTGCAGGGTCTCATTAGCAGCGTGTTCTGCTTGTGCAAAATCCCTGTTGTTTTTTTGTTGTTTGTTTGTTTTTTTGGTTTTGTTTTTGTGGTTTTTTGTTTTTGTTTTTGTGGGGTTTTTTGTTTGTTTGGTTTTTTTTGGTTTGTTTTTTTTTGTTTGTTTGTTTTTCCGGTTAACACTTAATAACTTGGTGTGGCGGTGATAGTGCCTGTCTGTTCCTTTGTGCAACAATAAGTACATCCCTAATTGCTGCGCCTCCTTTAATTTGTGCCCCCAGCCTGGGGGTGGGGGGAGATGACAAAAGGCGGACAGCGCCTTTTGCTCCCCGCACCCCCGTGCTCGCCCAGCCCCGCCGTGTCCCCTGGGCTGCCGCGGGGCGCACACCCCGCACGCCGGCCCCGTTTTCAGGGGGTCACTGATGGGGAGGGGGTTTGACAGGGGGTGTCCATCCCGGCGGGAGGGACGCACACTGCCTGGCGTCGAAGCCGTCCCCGACGAGCGCCGCCAGCTCCAGCTCCTTGAGGCGGATGCCCAGCTCGCACATCTCCTCCTGCAGCTGCAGCTGCGCCTGCTCCGCCGGCCGCCGCCTCGCCGCGCCCCCGCCCCGCGCCCCCGCCACCCGGCCCCGGCGGGTCCGCAGGAGGCAGCGGCGGCTCCGGGACGAGGGGCGCGGGCAGCGCGGCGTAGCGGGGCGGGGGCCCGGCGGCGGCGGCCGCTGGCAGGGGCTGCCACGGCCAGCACATGGCGGCGAGGGGCGCCCAGGCGCCGCCGGGCGGGCGGGGCACGGGCTCGGTGCCGTGGAAGTGCGGGAAGTACAGCGGCGGCCACGACGGGCGCTGCACGGTCATGGCGACCGCGGTGCCTGCGGTGGTGCCCCAGGAGCACCTGCCGAGCCCCGGGCGCTACGGGGCGGTTGTGCCCGAGGAGCCCCGGGCGCTACGGGGCGGTTGTGCCCGAGGAGCCCCGGGCGCTACGGGGCGGTTCTGCCCGAGGAGCCCCGGGCGCCGGGCGGTTGTGCCCGAGGAGCCCCGGGCGGTACCGGCGGTTGTGCCCCAGGAACCCCGGCCCTGCCCCGGGCGGTACCGGCGGTTGTGCCCGAGGAGCCCCAGGCGGTACCGGCGGTTGTGCCCCAGGAGTCCCAGCCGAGCCGGGCGGTTGTGCCCCAGGAGCCCCGGCCCAGCCCCGGGCGGTTGTGCCCGAGGCGCCGCCGCCTCGAGCGGCCCGAGCTGGGCTCGGGACCCCCCCCGCCGTGTCCTTCCCCACTTTCTCCCGGGCCCGAACTCCCTCCCAATTTTTTAACCTCTGGGGATCTCTTATCACACGGCAGAGCGCGCCCGTGCGCCACGTTCCGGGCGCTGCCGAGTTCTCCCGTGGTAGGGCAGGTGTTTTTCACCCGGCGGGTTTTATTTCTGGGCAGGGAAGGTGGTGTTGCGTTAGGCTCTTTTGACAGTTGCATTTAGTAAGAGAAGCGAGGAAGGCACTGCCCTAAAAAACGTTTGGTTTTAGAAGTTTATCTTCAGGCGGTTTGTGAAAGAAAGGAGCCGGGTACTGAGGATGGGTGGATGTTGGTGATGAGATTAGGGAAAATTTCGTCTTCGGGTGCTTGCTCATGCGATAGCTAGTGCCCTGCATATCTGATGTTCAGGATTATAAGGTTCTGGCGGCTGTTTTGGGGTAGACGTGTGCGTGTGTCCCCCCCAAAACAAACAAACAACAAAAACTTCCATGATTTTTTTTTGTATGTGGGATTGAGACCTGTCATTAATACTGTCTGGTTGCAATTTCTTTAGCTGTAGCTCTTTCCATTAAGTATGACAACCACCCTTCCAGCCCTGGGCAGCTAGTGGGGCATGGCTGATGACTGCTGTGGAGCTCAGAACAAGCAGAGCCTCTCTGGCTTCCAGCAGGAGGACTTCTGGGATGGATTTAAGCTGATTGGAAGAGCTTTGGACAACGCTAATAAGAGAGGTGCTAAAGCAGTGCTTCTGGTGAAGGACTGATGACTGCAGGGGCTGTGGAGATTAGTTACAATCAGTAAATTCCCTTAAAACGAGGTGAAAAGCCCACTGCAGTATTAACACAGCCTTGAGCAGGCTTCGACAATAACCAGCCCCGAAAGGACTGCTATGTGCTCTGAAGAAAATTCTATTTTTTAAAGCTTTCCCTGGAATAAAATGGGAAGTTTTTCTAGAACCTGGACTTCTGTGTACTTTAGCTGTAGTGCTCTGTGCTGTGAGCCGACACTGATGTAAATGTTTGAAACTCAGCAGATCTACAGATACTCAGATGTCACAAGAGTGACACTCAGTGTCTTGAAAAGGGATAGGGACAGAAAAATAGTGTCAGGACTCACTTAGTATTTTATTTTAATGTGCACTGTTTAGGGAGTGTGCTCTGACTTGGAGCCAAAGCATGTTGCACTACATGTAGTGTGCTTACATAACTAAAATTCCAGTACCAGTATATTACCAGTACAGGTTGTGTATTTTGTGAATGGAACACACATATTTGAAATAAGAGCTGATCAGACGAGAAGTCTGATAACAAAAATTCCTCCCCCTCCCCCCCCCAGTTCTCAGTAGATTAGACAAGAACTACAGGTATAGTTCCTTCTATGTGATGATGTGAGGAGAAGGCCCAGACATTAGGTGGAGGCAGCACCTGCAAGTGTCTGTTTTTGTTTCTGTGGTAATTTGAGAATGTATAGTAAAAGTTAATAACCCTTCCTTAACCAGGTCTTTTTGGGTTGCTTTTGAAAGCAAAACAGTGCTTGTGCAGGATTTGCAGGGAGCCCAACTTTTGAAAACAACAGAAAGCCCATTGCTTCAACTTATCTTTCCTAAAATAAGTTCCTTTTTATCTTTGAACATGCAAACAAACCACATTACTGTTCTATTTGAATCTAGTTCAATCTGCCTTTGTTTATGCTCTAATTTGGCTTTCCTTTTTTGGTGCAATTCACTTTGGGGTAATACTGATATCCTTTTAAATCAGTAATACTTTGAATATCAGAATTTGAACCTTTTTTTTTCTGTGAGCCTTTTCTGTCACTACAGTAGAGTAAATACAGTCTTGCCATCACGCTGTCAAGGATTTCTGTTGTATAACTTGCAGTTTTAAAGGTACTTACATGGACAACAAGGATAGCTCTGGATAAACATTTTGATAGAGTTATTAATGCATTTTTTCAGAGTTAAAGCCAGTATATGTACTTCATTTGGGAGAGGCAGAATGTGGATATCCACTAACACGTGTGTGTATGTTGTGATCGTTTATTAAAAGTAGTAGGGGTAGAATGCCAGAAACGTCAAGGTTGGTCTCAGTCCTGATCCATTGCAGCAGTTCAAAGTTTCTGGAGATCAATCTTGGTGAAAAGAGAAAAGTAACTCTCTTCAAATGCAGAGAATGCAGATTTTCAGCTGAAAGGGGTTAAAAGGGCAAAAATGTGCCGAGAAGTAAGAGGAAGGTGCTTGCATTCACCAAAGAGGAAAATTTATGAAGGAAAGAGCATAATATGAGTGTTGTAACTTCACGGGAACTGATAACGCTTTTTCTAGCATTTTTCTTTCGTTATTTTATATCAGATTTTGGACAGCTTGTTGTTCAGCAGGACCCCCAGTTCGTTCTCTGCAGAGCTGCTCTCCAGCAGGTCAGCCCCCAGCCTGTACTGATGCGTGGGGTTATTCTTCCCCAGGTGCAGAACCTTTTTGGCTTCGTTGCATTTCAGACTGTTCTTTTCTTCCCATCAAGAATGTCATTCTGTAATTGCCTTACTTATACAGTGTTACACGCAGGTCAGATGTGTGCCGTCCACCTCGGGCACTGAAAATTTGTTTCCAAAACTGGGATAGTTTGATCTTGGGTTCAAATGATACAGGGATCAGAGTTTTGACACAGAAGATGTCAGTTGTGTGCGTTTTTGGCCAGCAAGTCGGGCAGTAGCTATACAGATGTGAGCCGGTAGAGGGAAGCAAACACGTACACTTGGTAGTGTTGTGCCACGATTTGTCAGATTAATCACGTTCGTCTCTGTGTATTTAAGTGCTGATATTTGAAGTGCTTGCGGAAGTGTTAATTTTGAGAAACAAGTCTTCTACTTATCTAGCCATCAAAGACTGTAGTGACAGTATTCCAGCAACCTCCTCTCTACAGTATGTAAAAGCTTTTTGAAAGACTCTTCTGCTGAGAGAAGCTAAGAATAGTAAAGTTATGAAGTCTGAGGGCAGCTAAAATGTTCTCGTGTTAGTTGCAGTAGTAGTTATTCTGCAGTGTTAGTGACAATTATTACTGATACTCAGAATGCTGAGTGTGTATGTGCATGAATTCATGTTTTCACACAATTGCTTTAAGTGTCTGTAAAAGCCACAAAAGCTACAGTTTTTCTGCTTTTACACTGAATTTTGGTGTCAATTAAAAAAAAAAAATAACAACATACTTTCATCCCTGAAATACCATGAAAAGTTAGTGCAAAAAGTTGGATTTAACATCTAATGTGTTATTTAAAATGTATACTAATAGTCAATTTTTTTTGCAGTCAGTTGATAATTGTATTGGTCTTCCAGCATGGGTATTCTGTCATCTCTTCTTTTTAGTTTAGTTTTTGAGGTTTGTTGTAGTTGATTTAATTATGTTGGAGTTCCTGGCTGGTCCAATAATACATTTTATACCAACTTCCCACTTTCAGTTCCCAAATTCCCAGCCTTTATTGCCTGTCATTCAGATTCTCCAGCAAAAATTGCTGTATTTTCTCCTTTCTAGGAGAAAAGCTGCTAAAAATCTCAACAGAATCTACTGTGCTGTGCTTCCAAAGCATGGGATTGCAGGCAGTGAGCTGTGGCCTTCGTGCTCCCCCTCTTTGTTTCTGCTTCTTGTGCATGTTGGGTCTCACATTTGTGACATTTGCCTTGCCGTTTCTTAATGATAAGTAGAAGAGTCCCACTATGTTTTTTTTTAATTACTGTACTGCATCTACTTTGTCACTTGTTTCCATTTGAAAAGTTGTTGGTGCTGTTCAACCCAAACCCAATTTAGACGTGTGACTGCTACCAAAATGCATTCATATAGATGGGAATGATTTTAATAAATGTGTTAGGTCTACATGGCAAGGCTTTGGTAGTGGGGTGCTACAGGGCTGGCTTCTGGAGGAAGCTGCTGCGAGTGCCACTGGAGCAGAGGAAGGAGAAGCAGTGACAATGTGTGATGAACTGACCACAGCTACGTTCTCTGTCCCCCTTTGCTTCTGTAGGAGAGGAAGTAGAGAAAATCATGAGTACACTTAAGCCTGGGAAGAAAGGAGGCATGGGGAGAAGGCGTTCTAACATCTGTTTTTATTTCACATTATCCTACTCAGATTCAGGATTATTTTCCCCAAGTCAAGTCTGTTCTGTAATTTGTGAGTGGTTTCTTGCTGCCCTTATATCAACCTATGAGCCTTTTGTCATGTTTTCTCTCCCCTGTGCAGCTGAGGAAGGAAGCGATAGAGCAGCTTTGGTGGCTGCCTGTTGTCCAGCCAGGGCTCACCCACCCCAATAATCTGTATTATTTGCTAATAATGGAGTCTAATTGTTTTTTCTGAGTTCATCCTGGTTTCAGTTTATAATCTGTAGGATTTATTAGTGAAATGGATTTCAAAGGAATGCCACTCCCTTCCCTGATGCATCTCTGGCCTGCAAGATGTGTCACATTAACAATAATACAAACTGATATGAAGTGGGCTATTTATAAAGTCTCAAAGCACCGTGCCAGCAAACTTAAAATTAACAGAGAGCAACTAATTAACAATTATACAACTTGAAAGAAGTGCTAATTAAAAAGTTTTGAAGAGATGAATTTTTCAATTGAAACACAA